TGTGTCCCTGGGTGATGTCAGCTCCTCGGCTCTGTGCCTCGCCATTCACAGGCATCAAGCTAGAGCTGGGGCCAGCATCAAGCTAGAGCTAAGGACCTTCCTGCCTGTCCTCCCCACCAAGGGGCATATCCCACAAGGGCCAGGCTGCCCATCTGTCCCCATAGGGTCTTGCTCAGGCCTTTGCCTTAGGGAGAGTCCATTGCTTGGGCTTAGGGGTCCAGGGGATGCAGTATGGGCCCCTGTGGACAGACTATGCATGTTTCAAGGACAAAGCCTCATTACCATGCGCGACAAGCTGCAGCAGAGGCCGCAAAGGCCTTTGGCAGGGGGGCCAGGCTGAGTGCCAGGGATGCCCTTGGTGGTTGTGGGCAGGAGTCAGGGGCCTGGGGCCTGCCCTGAGAAGGTGAGGGTGGCCATGTGCAGATACCCCAACACTAATCACATTCCAGGACTCAAGCCCTTCTAAACTCCAGCATGTGCCATGTCCTGGGCTGGTGCAGGGAGCGTAGGGCAGTCCATGCAGACCATGGCCTCTAGCCTGCGTGAAGTGCATATCCCCCCTCATTCCAAGTACTCTATTCAGTGCTTTTTAGCATGTTCAGAGTTGTGCAACTATCACCACTATCTAACTCCAGAACGTTCTCATCACCCCAAGAAGCCACATCCCCATCAACAGTCACCCTTACCCCTCACCCCCAGCCCCTGGTGACCACGAAGCCATGTCCCGTCTCTGTGGATCTGCCTGTTCTGGACATTTCACATAAGTGGAATCTCACACTGTGTGTCCTTCTGTATCTTCTTCTCTTACCGAGTGGAATGTTGTGTGGACAGACAAGAATCACCCCAACAAATAAAGTAGATCGTTTGGAAAAGTGCTGAGGAGAAAACACTTCAGGGAGTTGGGGGTCTGTTCCAGTCTGTCACTTTGTTCAGTGTGGCCAGGGAAGGTCTGTCTGAGCTGAGACCTGGATAGTGAGCAAGAACCAATCCGGCAAGGTGCAGGGAATAGCATTCTAGGTGGAGGGAGCAGTGTTCAGGTGCAGGTAGATCCTTAGGGAGGCTGGGGGCGTGGATGTGTCTGAGTTTAGAGGGGTGGGAGTTGGGTAAAGGGTAAAATCTCACAGGGAGTTGAAGCTACAGTAAGGTGTTCAGACTTGATTCTATGAGCAATGGGGAGCACGGAAGATGCTAAGAAAGAGCATGACATGATATGAGTCGCAGTGTAAAGACATGTCAAGCTCCAAGTGGTGTGACCCCGGGTCACCTTACCTCACCTTGTTTCCTGACTAGACCCCTCACTATACCCCTCCCCATGCAGAACTGGGGTACATGCAGGGCTCAGTGATATGGGGTGACTGGAGCCCAGGATCAGGGGAGGCGGAATTGCAAACCCAGTACCCATTCCCCTCCAGAGCTAGGACAGGGACTCAGGTCTCTACCTGAGCTAGCCACTTACTGCCTCAGACAGAGGCAGTTAACTCTGAGCCTCAGCTTCCTCATCTGCACAACTGCCTCCCTGGGCTGACACCAGGAACAAGAGAGAAGCCAGCCAAGAAGGTTCTGATGGATCGACACTTTCTGGACAAGTCTCCCTTGGGTGCTGGCTGGGGTCAGGAACGCTGAGTTCTAGGCCCTGTGCTGCTCCTGGCCAAGTCCTCATCTCATTCATTCAATAAGTATTTAATGGGCGCTGATTGCATGCCAGGCACTGTTCTTGCTATTAAAGGAAATAGCAATGAACAAAACAGACAAAACCCCACCATTCTGTCTATAGGGATTTTGAATTATGGCCTCCTCATGGACATCCCCGTCCTAATTCCTGGAACCTGTGGATATAGCACCTCATATGGCAGAAGAGGCAGGTGGGAACTTTGAGATGGAAGGTCATTCTGGATTATTTGGGGGGGGCAGTGTCCCCACAGGGTCCTCAGAAGGCAGGAGGGTCAGAGGCAGAGAGAGCCTGGAAGATGCTGTGCTGATGGCTGTGAAGGGGAAGGAAGGGGCCCTGAGCCGAGGGACGCGGCAGCCTCTAGATGCTGGAAGAGGTGGGAGAAGGACTCTCCCCTGGATTCCCTAGGAGGGACCAGCCCTGCCACACCTTGACCTTAGCCCAGTGAAGTCCCTACTATTCTCTGACCTCCAGAAGTGTGAGATAACAAAGGTGTGTAGTTCCAATCATTTGTGGTGACTGCTACAGCAGCGAAGGGAAGCTTATGCGTACAAGGTCATGGGTCATGAATATGGAGGGGGCACAGGCCTCCTAGAGATGTGCACCTGCTTCCTGGACCTTGGAAGGAGGAAGTGCTGATCTCCCCATGGGGTCTGCCACCTGCATTAGCTGCAGTGCAGGCACCTGCCTAGGACATCCCCCTGATCTGCCTAAGGCCTAAGGAAGGCAGATCTTATGCTCTTCCTTATGCCCAGAGCTGTCTTCCAATACTGATCCTGGACTGATTTGCCAGGAAGCTCTTAGCCCAAATGGTGGCAAAGTGTGGCTAGGGGAACTGGGTTCCTCTCCTTGAACTCCCTTGATGCCTGGCTGGGGGGCAGCTCCCTCCATCTGCCCTGATCAAGCCCTAGCCCCTTTCTGTCTCCTCTGTTCCAAGCAGACCTTGCTGCCCTGGGCTGGTCCCCACCAAAGTTACATTGGACACATCCTCCCTCTGACCCCTCTCAGGGCTGGGGATGCCGACCCCTCCCTCAGGAAAGACTGACTTGACAGGAGGTCAAGGAGACAGAAGCTTGTTAGCTGGCCCCTCCGTCTCTAGGCCCTCCACTATAATCGGGGCAGTGGGAACATGGAGACTGTGGTCTGGAAGTGTCCCCCATTTGAGCTTCTAAGACAGAAGTGGGAGGAGGGGGCTCCTGGCAGTGCCTGGACCTCTGAGGTATACTTTTGGGGACACATTGTAGGTCCCCCAGGATTGGTACAATCTATGTCCTAGATCTGGGCCCTCTCAGGACTTCAACCATGAAATTCATTAAGCCCTAATTAGCTTCCATCTGCTGTTAGTCCCTGTCAACCCCTCTGGGGGATGGAGCCTCTCAACCCACTTTCCTTGCCAGCCTGTGTATGGGAGCTACTGACTACCCTCTACAGGCAGGGCCCCCAGACCTGGAAACACTTTTGGAGAGCCCACTGTATACTCTGGCCACTTCACCCACTAGTTCAGCCCTGAGGGTGGAGATAATGAAGCTCATTCTGGAGAAAAGAAGACTGAGGGTCAGAGTGGGCCCTAGCTGAAGACAGTCTGCATTTGAACCTAAGTCTGATGCTGCCGCCTCCTACCCACAAAATCCCAGCTCCCCAAGGCTTGACATGTGGTGGTGGGTGGGTTGATGAGGCCCACCTGGAACAAACCTTGCTAGGAAGTTCTCTGGGAGGCTCTCTACCTAGTGACTAGGTGGTGACTCAGGGGCACCAGGGAATGACAGAATGGTGGGAAGAGACATCAAACTGCCGTTTCAGATCTGCTTTCTATTTGCACTCACCAAGGGACCTGTAGCTCATGGGCTTAAGCTGAGGGTGGACAGCAGTGGCCACTCCCACTGTATAGATGAGAACACTGAGGCTCACCAGGTATGGCAGGGCTGGTGTCATAACAAGCATGACCCTTAGGACTGCCCCATGTCCATCTCTTTTCTGGCAGCACCTGGCTAGGGGCTTGAGGCATGTCTCATTTAATCCTTTGTCAGGTAGATGCAAGAGAAAAGAAGTAATTTGCCCAAAGTCATGGCCCAGCCTTGTGACAGACAATCCCTTACTCTTCCTTCACACACCATTAAACCCTTCCCATGCGCCAACCTTTTCCAGGAAACCCTCCTAGGTTGCTCTGGGTCTCATAGCTCTGGTGTTTCTTTCTTTCTTTCTTTTTTTTTTTTTTTGCAGTTTTTGGCCTGGGGCTGGGTTTGAACCCGCCACCTCTGGCATATGGGGCCGGCACCCTACTCCTTTGAGCCACAGGTGCCACCCAGCTCTGGTGTTTCTAAAGGTCCCGCCCAGCCCTAAAAAGTGCCCCCACCCTCAGAGCAGCCCTCCACCTGCTACCATGCCAGGCTAGATGCCTCCTTCCCACCCCTGCTAGAAACAAGAAGTTCTCAAGCATTGCTGTGTGCATATGTATTCACCAGGGGCCATTTGCTACAAATGCAGGTACTGGGGCCCATCCCCTCAAGAAGTTCTGATTCCTCAAAAATGGAGGGTTTGGGACATCTGCATCTTTAGTGTCCAAGGTACATATGAAGAAACCAAGTCACAAAGTGGTCTCCAAATTAAGGACTAAAGTCTTGTCTTGTGTGCAGAGGGAGGCACAGTGCGCTGCAGCCCCCAACTTGTTGAATGAGGTCTAGGTGCCTCCACTGGCCAGATCCCAGAGGCCCGGGGCACCCAGGCCCAGCCTCAGGTGATGGAGAGAAGCCCCTACCATGGCTTGGCACTGCCTGGATACAGGCCCATTGAGCAGAGGGCTCAGCCCTGTGCCTCCAAATCCCTCCCAGCCAGACTGAGCTGTCTCAGTTCTGGGGATGGGGCAGGTTCTGGTGTGGACCCCAAACAGCCTGTTTGCCTTCCTGCTCCAGCACCCCGAGGCTGGACCAGACCCGCCTGGGGGAGAAAGGAAGGTGCAGGGCTGAGGCTCCATCCAGACGGCCCTCACATCCCCAGACCCAACCAGCTACCCCTCATCCCCTCCGAAGGAAGACGCATCCTCCCGGCATCCCCACTGCCCCAGGGAAATGCCCACCCGGTTCCCCGCTCCTTGGTGCCCCAGGGCAGGTGCGGGGGGACCCCAGCGTGGGGAGTTGGACCCCAAAGTTTCTAGGGGAAGCGTCGGGGGCCTGGCGAGGAGCGATGCTTCGGGGAGGGACACGCGGGGCGAGTCTCCTCGGCCCAGGATGGGGGCGCAGATGGGGGGCTACGGGCTACAGAGGCGCGGGGCGCAGGGAGTGGTGTCCCCGGCCTGCCAGTGCGCCCTGCTCGGGCCCCGCGTGCCGCTACTCACCTGGGCAGCTCCGCCGCGGACACGGCGCGGGCTGCGGCGCGGGGGCCGCCCGGAGCCGACTCAAGCCGCCACCGCCACCACCGCCGCCGCCTCCTCCTCCCGGGTTCCGCCGTGCGCGCGCCCGCTGCGCGCTCCCTCCGCTGGCCTCCCCAGCACGCATGGCGGGAGCGCGCGGGGGCTGCTCCGGAGCGCGCGCGCGCCTGTTGGGGCCGCAGGTGTGCGGCGACACGTGGGGCGCAGGTGCCCAGAGTGCCGGCCCAGCCCGCAGCCAGGACGCGTGCCAGGGCTGCTCGCTGGGGTCTGCAGGAGGACTCAGCGTGTGCACTGCTGGTACTGTGGCGGAGGATCCTCTGTCCTCGTGGCCTTGACGAGTCTGCCGGCCCTGCCCTGCAAGAGACCCAGGGCTCCCCAAGTGCCGCAGGGTGTCCCATCTGGAACCTTCTGGAACCTACCACCGCTTCCTCTATTCCTCCCTCACTCCAGGCCTTCAATACTTGCCCCTGGATACCTGTCCCAGCTCGGCCCTGAGGTTCACTCATAAGAGGAAGCTTAGCCAGTAGGCTCCAGAACCTTGTGTGGCTCCCTATTGCTCTGGGATCCTATCTATACTGCACATATGCCTTTGGATCTTCCCATCCCACCTTCTCCCACTCTGGTCCTCATGGTCCCCTGGTTGGTGCCCTGTTCCCTTGGGGTCATGTTCCACCGGTTTCAAGGCCTCTGGACTTGTTCCCTATCCTGGAATACCAATCACTGTATTTGTTTAACCTGGCTTGTCACCACCAGCACCATCCCCATTCGGATGGGCAGACACGAAGTGTTTGTGGAAATAATGCGTTTTTATAGGCAGCCACCGGTTTGGGGAGCCATGGGTACCCCCATACTTGGGAACTTCAAGAAGAGAGGGGGCCCAGCCCCATCTGATGACAGGCATCCTTTCTAAGGAGATGCTAAGAACCACTGAATGTCAAGGTGAAGGGTCCCTATTCCCACCCTCAAACTGGGATACTGTGGGGGCCCGAGGGGGAGCAAGTTAGGGCAGGAGTGGGATCAGGAGTGGGGCATCCTAAGCCCCAGGACAGTGTCTGCCCAGCAGACCATGTAGGGGCTCACACTGCAGAGTCTGGCTTGGGAGGTAGGATGCTCTGTGGTGGGTGTGGTGGGTACAAGGTCAGATTTTAGTATAATCTGCCCTCAATTATATTAAAAACATCAGCTGAGAATCACCACTTTCTCAGCATGGGATTTTGATCCTTGCTGCATCTTAACTGTCACAAGATGGACACTTTTATTATTTCCACTTCTCAGATGAATAGACCAAGGCTCAGAGATGCTATTTGTCCCAAGCAAGGGGGTGGAAGCCTGGCTCCATCCAGAGCCTGGCCCCGTAACCCTGCACTGTCCACCTCCTTTACCCTGCCTGCCCTGCAGTCCTCCCCACCCACTGCGTCCTCCCAGTAGCTTTGATGGTGGCTTGGCATCCACTCAGCCACCTGTGACTCAAGCAGGCTCTGATCCCAGACTGTCGCGTTGGCTGGAGTCCCAGAAACCGCATCCTGGGAGGCCGCAGGCCAGTGCTCCCATGGGATGCTGCAGGGGAAGCAGTTCCCCTCTTGGCTCTGGAGAGGCCTGGAAGAACCACATGACTCCCTCCTGGACCTGCCCCCTACTGGCCAGCCTGGAGAAGGTACATGGTGGTGCCACTGTGCTGTGTGACCTCAGAGGGTTGACTCCTCTCTCTGGTCTTCAGTTTCTCTCTCTGAAAAATAACTTCCTGATCTCTGCCTCTTGTGGTTCTTGGAGAAAGGCATTCGTTGAGCACCTACTGTATGCCAGGCAAAGCTCTGGAGGGAGAAAACACTTCAAGGAACAAGGGGAACAGATGCACAAAATAATAACAAAAAGGGGATGGGAAAGACAGCAGAGGTACCTGATGCCCAACCTCAGCCAGGTTTAGGGCAGCTCCCCCAGAGAGGACACTTGCTTTGAGTCATGGAGGGTGAAGGACATTAGCCAACTGCCTCTGTTCAAGTCTAGATCCTGCCATACCCTGGCTGTGTGATTACAGGGGACTTCCTTCCAGCCTGTTTCTGAATCTGTACAATGGGGACAGGAGCAGTTCTCATCCTCCAGGGCCCCCAATGACAGAGGGGCACACCAGGAAGCTTGCTGTGTCCAGGAGCGTGGCTGTGGCTGAAGGGAGACCTCAGGGTGGGGACAGATGTCTGCTCTGCCACCCCTATCTACCTCTCAACTCATGTAAGCCTCTGTCTTTCCCAGCCTCCTGGACCTTCCTGTTAAGATAGTCTGTAATTGGGCCAGGTGCGGTGGCTCACACCTGTAATTCTAGCACTCTGGGAGGCTGAGGTGGGTGGATTGCCTGAGCTCATGGGTTTGAAACCAACCTGATCAAGAGCAAGACTCCATCTCTAAAACTAACTAGAGTGTTGTGGTGGGCACACGCCGTCCCAGCTACTTGGGCGGCTGAGGCAAGAGAATCACTTGAGCCTAAGAGTTGGAGGTTGCTGTGAACTATGACACCATGCACTCTACTGAGGGCAACAAAGTGAGACTCTGTCTCAAACAAAAAAAGGATATTCTGTAATTTCATGAATTATCCTATGTATTTCTGCCTCCTTCCTTCATGGTTGTGTCTCTGGCACCTAACACACAGAGCAAGTGTCTGATAAATGCTGGTTGAATGCATGAATGATCCAGAGACATTGAAGGGGGTAGAGTTTGTTCCCAGGATCAGGGTTTCTGGGGGTCTGAGCAGTTTCCCTGGAGGTGCTCACTGCTCCCAGAAATCACTGCCTTATTTCTCTCTTTTTTCCATGGCCAGTGCCTGCTAGAGGCAGGGAGCCATGCCTGGGCCCAGCATGGGTCTGGCCACATAGTAGGTGGTGCTCAGCAAATGAGGAGAATGTGCAGGTTCTAGGATAAAGGAGGTGGGTTTGAAGTCTGGTGGCATATCCCAGGCTGGGCTGCTCTTGGCTGCTGGGTGACCTTGGAGCATCCCTTGCTGTTTCTGGACCCATCATCCCAGGTGGGTGTCCTCCCTTCCTACTTAAGAACTGCCCTGGGTTGGTGTGGGGGACCTGGGAGGGGGACACCGCCCAAGTTAGAGCCTCCTAGGCACTGGGGCGGTAGTACCTGGTTGCCAAGGTTACGACCACCTGGGATGGGAATGTTGCCATGGAGACGGACCACCTGGGCGGAAAGAGCAGTCCCTCCCACAGGAAAAGCCATGCAAGTGGGCAGGGAGGTGGCTGCTTGCCTAGGGGACTGCTGGGGAGGGGCTCTTCCCATTCTGCGCCCTCCTGCCAGGGAACCCCAGCAGGAGGCCTTACATGGCAGGAATTATTCTAAAATTAAAAGCCCTCCTCCTCTTACCCTCTCTCTCTAGCATGATGCAAGGGATCAGGTGTGGTGGTTATAGCCCTGTGGTGAGAGGCTGTGGGGGCAGGTGGCCGGGGAGCCTCGAGTGTGGCCCACGACAGGGATTTCCTCTCTGTAAGTAAGGGTACAGTCATCAGTTTCTGAAAGGCAAATGCTGGGAGTAATGGAAGGCTTGAATTCCAGAGGCCTGGGGTCTAGCCCCAGATTTGCCTGTGTGGCTGGAGGCTAGTGACCTAACCTCTCTGAGCCCCAATATCCTCATTCATAAAGTGAGAATAATAATAACCAACTCCTGGTGGCGCCTGTAGCTCAGTGGGTAGGGCGCCAGCCACATATAATGAGGCTGACAAGTTCGAACCTGACCAGGGTCAGATTAAAAAACAACAATGACAACTGCAACAACAACAAAAATGGCCAGGCATTGTGGCCAGGTATTGTGGCAGGCACCTGTACTACCAGTTACTTGGGAGGCTGAGGCAAGAGAATCACTTAAGCCCAAAAGTTTGAAGTTGCTGTGAGCTGTGACGCCATGCACTCTACTGAGGGCAACATAGTAAGATTATCTCAAAACAAACAAACAAACAAACAAAAAACCAAAACCAACTCCTTATTGCTTTGGTGAGGATTAAATGGGTAGACCATTTTTTTTTTTTTTTGAGACAGAGTCTCACCATGTTGCCCTCAGTAGAGTGCCATCACAGGTCACAGTAACTCTTGGGCTTAAGCAATTCTCCTGCCTCAGCCTCCCAAGTAGCTGGGACCACAGGCACCCGCCACAACGCCGGGCTATTTTTTGTTGCAGTTGTTGTTGTTGTTTTAGCTGGCCCAGGCTGGGTTTGAACCCACCAGCCTGGGTGTATGTGGCCAGCGCCTTACACACTGAGCTATGGGCACCACCAAGGTAGAGCAGGTTTATGAGACTATCTGGTCCAGCTGGCAACCATGAAGCATGAGGCATTATTATTTACTGAATCAACATTTGCTCAGTGCTGTGCATAGAACAAGGTGCTAGGGACACTGAGCATCCCAAATGGCTCCCACTATGACAGGCTCGGAATACAAAGGTGTCCCAAATCAAGGCTGCAAGGCAAACTTCACAGGAGAGCCAGTTTGGTGGGCAAGAGGACAGCAGAGGGCACAACATAGGAATGGGAAACTGTGTGTGTGAACTGCACAGAGGAGAGCCACAAGAGGAGGAAATGGCAGAGGCACTCAGATGTCATCCAAGGGAAGGTGCCAGCTGAAAAGGGTTCCAGGCAAGGAGGCTTAGAATGGGATGTGTGGCTATGTGGGAGGATTCTAGGCACAGAAGCCAAGAGCTTCTAGAACTGTCCCCCTAATAGGTAATCCCTAGAGCAAGAATGGAGTTAATCTGGGCGGTGCCTGTGGCTCAGTGAGTAGGGCGCTGGCCCCATATACTGAGGGTAGTGGGTTCAAACCCAGTCCCGGCCAAAGTGCAGAATTGCCTAAGCCCAGGAGTTGGAGGTTGCTGTGAGCTGTGTGATGCCATGGCACTCTACCGAGGGGGATAAAGTGAGACTCTGTCTCCACACACACAAAAAAAGAATGGAGTTAATCCAGCCCCCATTTTATTTTTATTTATTTAATTTTTTTTTTTTTTTTGAGACAGATTCTCACTCTGTCACCTTAGGTAGAGTGCTGTGGCATCATCACAGCTCACAGCAAGCTCAAACTCTTGGGCTTAAGCCCTTGTGTTCAATCTCTTGCCTTAGTCTCCTGAGTAGCTGGGAGACTACAGCCACAATACCCAGTTCATTTTTTCTTTTCTTTCTTTCTTTTTTTATTTTTGCAGTTTTTGGCCAGGGCTGGGTTAGAACCCGCCACCTTTGGCATATGGGGCTAGAGCCCTACTCCTTTGAGCCACAGCACCACCCTCTTTTATTTTTTTTAAATATGGAACACTTCACAAATTTGAGTGTCATCCTTGCCCAGTTTTTTTCTGTATCATTTTTTCTGTATCATTCCAATTTTAGTATATGTGTTGCCAAAGTGAGCACAGTCTTTTTTCTATTTTAGTAGAGATGAAGTCTCATTCTGGTTCAGGCTGATCTCGAACCTGTGAGCTCAGGCAATCCACCTGCCTCAGCCTCCCAGAGTGCTAGGATTGCAGATGGAGCCACTGGGCTCCGCCCCCACCCTCCATTTAATTAATTAATTTATTATTATTATTTTTTTTAGAGACAGAGTCTCACTTTATTGCCCTTGGTAGAGAGCTGTGCAGTCACAGCTCACAGCAAACTCCAACTCCTGGGCTTAGGTGATTCTCTTGCCTCAGCCTCCCAAGTAGCTGGGACTACAGACACCCGCCACAACACCTGGTTATTTTTTTGTTGCAGTTTAGCCGGGGCCGGGTTTGAACCCACCACCCTCAGTATATGGGGCCAGTGCTCTACTCACTGAACCACAGGCGCCACCCATTAATTAATTAATTAATTTTTGAGACAGAGTTTCACTTTGTCACCCTGGGTAGAGTGCCATGGTATCACAGATCACAGCAATCTCTAATTCCTTGGCTCAAGCAATTCTCTTGCCTCAGCCTTCCAAGTAGCTGGGACTATAGGTGCCCACCACAACACCTCGCTAGTTTTAGAGAAGAGGTCTTGCTCTGGTTCAGGCTGGTCTCAAATTAGTGAGCTCAAGTGATTCACCCGCCTCTGCCTCCCAGAATGCTAGGATTACAAATGTGAGCCACTGCGCCTGGTCCCCTATCCTCCATTACAAAACAAAATTTCTTCTTGGCCTGGGTCAGTGGCTCACCCCTCTAATCCTAACACTCTGGGAGGCCAAGGCAGATGGATTGCTTGAGCTCAGGAATTCAAGACCAGCCTGAGCAATAGCAAGACCCCATCTCTACCAAAAATAGAAAATCCAGTCAGATTTTATAGTAGGTGCCTGTAGTCCCAGTTACTGGAGAGGCTAAGACAAGAGGATTACTTGGAGCCCAAGATTTTGAGATTACTGTGAACTATGACACCAAGACACTATATCCAGAGCAACAGTGAGACTCAGTCTCAAAAACAAACAAAAAGCGCCCCCCAGAAGCCCAACAAAACTCTCCTCTAAAATACATAGAAATTAATAGATTCTATCAGGGCTGGGCGCAGTGGCTCACACATGTAATCCCAGCACTTGGGAGGCCAAGGTGGGTGGATTGCCTGAGCTTGGAGGTTGGAGACTAGCCTGAGCCAGAGTGAGACCTCACCTCTAAAAATAGTTGGGTGTTGTGGCAGTTGCCTGTAATCCCAGCTACTTGGGAGGCTGAGGCAAGAGAATTGCTTGAGCCCAGGAGTTAGAGGTTGCTATGAGCTATGACGTGACGGCACTCTACCTAGGGCAACAAAGAGAAACTGTCTCAAGAAAAAAATAGACTATCAAATTCCTAAGGAAACTCTTGCTAATATTAACTTTTTATTATGGAAAATTTCAGCCACAAAGGCTGAGAGAGGGTGCTGGCCCCATATACCGGAGGTGGTGGGTTCAAACCCAACCTTGGCCAAAAACTGCTAAAAAATAATAAGAAAGAAAGAAAAATACCCAGGCGTTGTGGCGGGCGCCTGTAGTCCCAGCTACTTGGGAGGCTGAGGCAAGAGAATCACCTAAGCCTGGGAGTTGGAGGTTGCTGTGAGTTGTGTGATGCCACGGGACTCTGCCAATGGTGGCAGGGTAACACTCTGTCTCTTAAAAAATAAACAAACAAACAAAAAAACAAAAACAAAGCCTGGCTCAACACCTGTGGTTCAAGCAGCTAAGGCGCCAGCCACATACACCAGAGCTGTCAGGTTCAAATCCAGCCTGAGCCTGTCAAATAACAATGACAACTACAACCAAAAAATAGCCAGGCATTGTGGTGGGTGCCTGTGGTTCCAGCTACTTGGGAGGCTGAGGCAAGAGAATTGCTTAAGCCCAGGAGTCAGAGGTTGCTGTAAGCTGTGATGCCATAGTACTCTATCTACACAGGGCGTCTCAAAAAACTCAAAAAAAACCAAAAAAACAAAGGCTGAGAGAATCATACCATGAACCTCCATGAACTCATCACCAAAGTATGGCCCACTGGATTTCATTAGCTTCACCCTACCTGCCTCACAAAGTGAAAGCAAATCTCAGACATAATTCATCGACAGATATTTGTATCTCTAAAATATAAAGACTAAAAAAAAAAAAAAGCATAACCACAATTTCATTATCACTCTTAAAAAAATTGACAGCAGTTCCTTAATATCATCAAATATCCAGCCAGTGTCCAATTTCCCTGATTGCCTAGAAATTTTTTTCACTCTTTGTTCAAATCAATATCCAGATAAGTTCCATTAATCGCAGTTGGTTGATGTCTCTTCTACTGTATAGGTGTTTTTCCTCTTTCTTTCTTTCTTGGCACTATATTTGGTGTAGGACCCAGTCTCTAGCTTCCTACCATCTGCATGTTGCTGGTTGTTTGTTCCATGATTTGCTGGGCATTCCCAGGGTACCTTGAACTTTCCCCGGGATACAGTGCTGGCTAGACCACTGTGCTTCCTGAGCTGTAGATCAGTGATTTCCAACCTGTGTGTAATGAGAAGATCTTAGATGTGCCATGAACATTTTTAAAGATTAATTAAATTGGGCCACGTGTGGTGGCTCACACCTATAATCATAGCACTCTGGCAGGCCGAGGCAGGTAGACTGTCTGAACTCACAGGTTTGAGACCAGCCTGAGCTGGAGTAAGACCCATCTCTAAAAAAATAGCCTGGCAGGGCGGTGCCTGTGGCTCATTGAGTAGGGTGCTGGCCCCATATACCAAGGGTGATGGCTTCAAACCCAGCCTCGGCCAAATTGCAACAACAACAAAAATAGCTAGGTGTTGTGACAGGTGCCTGTGTTCCTAGCTACTTGGGAGGCTGAGGCAAGAGACTGTCTAAGCCCAAGAGCTGGAGGTTGCTGTGAGCTGTGATGCCACAGCACTCTACCAAGAGCAACAAAGTGAGACTCTGTCTCTAAAAAAAAAAAAAAAGCTGGGCACCTGTAGTCTCAGCTACTTGGGAGACTGAGGCAAGAGAATCACTTAAGCCCAAGAGTTTGGGGTTGTTCTGAGCTATGATGCCATGGCACTCTACCAAGGGTGACAAAGTGAGAATCTGTCTCAAAAAAAAAATTATTTTTGAAAGATGTCCAAAGCATAGTAAGTGTATGTGTACATATATATATACATATATACATATATATATTTAGAGACAAGAGTCTCACTTTGTTGCCCTTGTTAGAATGCTGTGGCATCACAGCTCACAGCAACCTCAAACTCCTGGGCTTAGGCAATTCTCTTACCTCAGCCTTCCGAGTAGCTGGGACCACAGGCACCTGCCACAACGCCTGGCTATTTTTTGTTGCAGTTTGGCCGGGGCTGGGTTTGAACCCGCCACCCTCGGTATATGGAGCTGGCGCCCTACTCACTGAGCCACAGGTGCACCGCATATATATATATATATATATTTTTTTTTTTTTTGATCAACATAATTTAAATGTGTTGCAGAAGTTTAACTATTGGTTCATGTGTGCCCTGAGAGAAAAAGGTTGAAAAACGCTGTTCTAGATGGATAGGAGATTTGGATGAGGAACCCCGAAACAAATGGATGATGACTGTAGATAATGGTATAGAATCTGAGTAGGCTATGACCAGGTAAGAGGGCTGCTTTAGGAGGATGGTTTGGGAAAGGCCTCCACTAAGCAATGGCCCGCAGGAAACCATAGATGAGATTTGCACGTGGGAGGAAAATGTCTCTGAAGCACATGCAGAAGCTGTGAGGTAGGAATAGCTCAGTGGCTCCCAAGGGTCTGCCGGGAGTGACAGGATCTGCTTTGCTGCTGGGCTGTAGGAATTTTGGGAGGGAGATGAGAGGCAGGTACAGTCCTGATCCAGGGGAGGGATACTGAAGCCTACAGTTCACACTCCCTATGCAGAGGGCAGTGAGTATGCTCTTGAAGATTTTACTCAATCTAGTTTAATGCAGTCTTGAACTCCTGGCCTCAAGAGATCCTCCTGCCTAGCCTCCCAAGCAGCTGGGACTATGGGGCCATAACACCCACATAATTTTTTCACTTGTAGAGATGGGGCTTTAAGCAATCTCCTTGGCCTCCCAAAGTGCTAGGATTGTAGGCATGAGCCACTGCATCTGGCACTGAGTTTTTAATCTGAATGAGTCCTGAATTTTTGTCTAAGTGAGTGTTGAATTTTCCACATCTCGAGAGTCGCTCATGTCATTTCCCTCCTTTATGCTGCGATTGTAGCTAATCACATTGGGTTTTGGATATTATACCAGCCTTGCATTCCTAGGATAAACTCCACTTGGTGGTTATGATGTATTATGCTTTTTACAGATGGCCACATTCAGTTTGTTACTATTTTATTAAGAATTTTTGCAGCCATATTCATGGGATATTGGGCCGTGATATTGGTCAGAGGAATTTTGGTCAGTGATTTTCTTTTTCTGTAATGTCTTTATGTTCAATGAATCCCAGTGGGCTTCATAAAATGAGCTGGGAAATGATCCTTCCTCTCTTACTTTCTTTTTTTGAGACAGAGGTCTCAAAGCTGTCACCCTGGGTGAATGTCATGGCATCACAGCTCACAGCAACCTCCAACTCCTGGGCTTAAGGAATTCTCTTGCTTCAGCCTCCCAAGTAGCTGGGACTATAGGTGCCCACCATGCCTGACTATTTTTTGGTTGTAGTTGTCATTGTTGTTTGTCAGGCCAAGGCTGGATTTGAACCCATCAGCTCCGGTGTGTGTGGTTGGTGCCTTAGCCACTTGAGCTACAGGCACCAAGCCCCTCTCCTACTTTCTGAAAGTGTTTGGGGGAGGATTGATGCTGTGTATTCCTTAATAGCTTTGGGATCATGCAGGTGGAGTTGTCAGCATTTGCTGATGGATGGGATGTCGGGGTGAAGAGGAAAGGTGATCGTAAGGTTTGGGGCATGAATTATAGAGCTGCTTTGTTAGCTGTGGGAAGTTGGGGAGGCATTTAGTGGATAAGAGAGCAGCATTTGGTGCACATTAACTTTGGGGCTCCTCTCTGGTGCGAGGGCAGAGCTGGGGGGAGTAGGGGTGAACTCACTGTAACTTCAGTTACAATGGTGAGACAAGGCCACCAGTGTCTCAGGCTCTGCTTCCTGGTCCTCTGCCTGCCACCCACCTGGTTCTTTGTCCCCAGACCTGCTCCTGTGCATTTGCTGTCTCTGCTCATAGCCTGGTACGCCCGTCTCCTCTTGGCACAGGAAGCCTGGTAGCCATAGGGTCCTTGTCCCTGAGTGAATCCTGACACCTGCTGGCTCTGTGAGCTTGAATAGCTGTGGATAGGGTGGGCAGGCGGTGGGTAGAGGTTTGCTAACCTGAGTCCTGGAGGGGGACAGAAAGTGTGAAAACCCATAGGTAGAAGAGCCTGAGTTAAGTAATTCAAGGCAAATATATCCTGACAGACCCAGGCAGCCCTCATGAAGCCCTAGGTCTAATAGACAGGTGGGGTGGGGTGGCAGGATGCCCAGAGGCAGTGGACACTCTGGGTGGTGTGGAGCTGGAAGGTATGTGGGGAGATCCCAGTGGCTTGAGCCAGAACAGTTGGGCTGGATCCCGAGGGGTGTCCCTGCTGTTACCCTGGGCAGTCTCCCCAAATCCTAGGACCCCTTCTTACTTGCAGATTGCCTATTTACAAACCTCCTTTCTTCCACACCCACATGCTTGTCTTGAGTCCAGGCAGGAATCTGAGCCCCCAAAACATGTGCCCAAGTGGCTGAGGTGCAGGGACTTCCCACTCCACATAGTCTCATTCAAGTCCCTGTATAGGCACTAGGGGGCTGCAGGGAGAGACCTGTGGCATGAGACTTAAAAAGTGTCCGTGCTCTCCCAGGTATTGGGGCTATTCCTTCTTCTCTTTGACCCTCTCACAGGCTTTGGGGCTTGGTTTCTGCACTCACAAGTAGGTTAGAAACCTGAAGACTTGGGAGCAGAGGAAGGACATGTGGGAAGATGGTGCCACAGGCAGTCTGCCACCTGGTTAGAATCTTGGCCATGTGACCCTAGATTGGCTGTGTAATTTAGCTGCCTCACCAGCAGAGAGATAAGGACTTACCAGAGGGTCTTGGGGAGACTCATGTGAACCACAGACATCTGGGGAAAGGAAGGTGCAGGACTGACCATCTGCAAGGTCAAGGTCTTATCCACCTTCAGAAGCTTCCAGAACCTGCTATGAGGTGGTATCCTGAGGTGGATCCCATCTAGTCTGGGGTCAAACCAGGGCCTGCCTTGTCTGGTGGAGCCTCAAAGGATAAGGCCTGAGGCTTCTTGACCAGCACCTGGAAGCCATGGACCATAGTGACCAGGGGTACATGCAACAGGGTGGGTGCCTGGTCCAAGGGCCACAGCCCTATGCACTGGGCTGGCTGCAAACAAGGACTTCAAATGGTGGGATCCTAGCTGGGGTCAGTGGGGAGCCTTCAGGTGAGGCCAAGGATTTATTTATACTAGGGAGTAGGTAGGGACTGGGGCATCCAGTATCCATATAGTGTCTTCATTTCTCTCCTGCTCCCTCTCCTTGTCTCTCTAAATCTGTCTCTGTTTCTGGCTTTGTCTTCTCTGACTTTGTAATTTTCAACATGATACTAAATGCAAGATATTAAATATTAAATTTCTCCTTTTAAAATATTAAAACATTGTGAGCAGACCACCACATATAATCCCAGGTCCTCTTTTTTTTGAGACAGAGTCTCGCTCTATTGCCCAGGCTGGAGTGCAATGTGATCATGGCTCACTGCAGCCTCCAACTCCTGCACTCAAGTGATCCTCCTGCTTCAGCCTCCAGGGTAGCTGGGACTATAGGGATCTGCCACAATGCCTGGCTAATTTTTCTTTTCTTTTTTTTTTTGAGACAAGAGCTTCAAGCTGTCCCCCTGGGTAGAGTGCCATGGCATCACAACTCACAGCAACCTCCAATTCCTGGGCTCAAGCGAGTCTCCTGCTTCTGCCTCCCAAGTAGCTGGGACCACAGGCACCTGCCACAATGCTCGGCTATTTTTGGTTACAGCTGTCATTGTTGTTTGGCGGGCCCAGGCTGGATTCAAACCTGCCACCTTAGGTGTATGTGGCTGGTGCCTTAACCACTTGAGCCACAGGCCTCGAGCCAATTTTTCTATTTTGAGTAGAGACAGAGTCTTGCTCTTTGCTCAGGTGGGTCTTGAACTTCTGAGCTCAAGTGATCCTTATGCCTTGGTAGCCCAGTGCTAGGATTATAGGCGTGATCCACCATGCCCAGCCTTTAAATGTACAGAGACATAAGATCTTTAAAAAAAATGGTTATCTTGGGCAGTGCCTGTGGCTCAGTGAGTAGGGCGCTGGCCCCATACACCGAGGGTGGTGGGTTCAAACCCGGCCCTGGCTGAACTGCAACCAAAAAATAGCCAGGCATTGTGGTGGGCGCCTGTAGTCCCAGCTATTAGGGAGGCTGAGGCAAGAGAATTGCTTAAGCTCAGGAGTTGGAGGTTGTTGCGAGCTGTGTGACGCCACGGCACTCTACCAACGGCAACAAAGTGAGACTGTCTCTGCAGAAAAAAAAAAAAAGGTTATCTCAAATAAGTGGCATTATGCTGTGATTTGCCAGTTTTCTGTTAGTTCCTACTGCTGTGTAGCAAACACCGTCAAACCCAAGATGTAGAAGCACGTAACAGTTATTTCTTATGATTCTGTGGGTTGGCTGCAAAGCTCCCAGACTGGCCTCACCTGGGCTACCTCATGAGGCCTCAGACTCCTGCAGGTTGGCCTGGTCTGCAAAGTTCAAGGCCTTCCACAACCATGGGCAGCTGGTTGGTAGCAGCTCAGCCTCCAGTAGGCTGATCCAGCTCCCGCATGTCATGGTTATCCTGAGAAGTGTTCCAAGAGGGCAAATGTGGAAGCCACAAGACCTCTCCCTTTGTGAACAATGCTCTAAATCCACATAATGTCACTTTTCCAATATACTCATGGTCAGATCAAGCTGCTCTCCTGGGCTCCAATAGCAGTGCTTAAGGTTTTTTCCTAAACCCAGGAGAGGAGTTTCAGAGAGATTGGGACACTTACCGTAAGTTTAAGTGGTGGGAGATTTGAGACCAGGACTCTGTGGCCACACTAGGTGGATTCTATCTCATCAGCTCATGGGGAGGTGACAGAGTGGGTAGAGAATAGTCTGGAGCATGGGGGGCTGTTTTGAGGGGTACAACAGTGGGGCAAGGGGAATAGGACAAGCCTTGCTTCTCTTTAGGGGAAACCAGAGAGGTGGGACACCAGACTTCCTCTCTTGCCTCCCCTTCTTAGCCTCTAAGGCCTTGGGGGGTTCCAGCTGGAATAAGGCCTCATGCCACCGGGGACCCCATTTCTGCCTTTATGTCTGGCCTCAGTCAGGGCAGGCTGGATGTGCTATGTGAATAGAGTGTAGACTTTTGGCACTCTGGTGCCCAAGTTCTAGATTTCTCCACCCTGTGAATTCTGAGTTCCGGCCTCCCCCAATTGTCAAATGGGCTGGCAGGTTGAATGTCAGCACACTAAGCATACCCAAACTTTAGCTGCCCTTCCTGGAAGCCTGTGACCCTGCAGCTGCTGCCCTCCTGGCTAAGGCCTCAGGCTGAGCCTCTGGAGGCCTCTGATAAGGTGGAGGTAGGGCTGAGCCAGATGGCGGGTGGGTGGGAGGGACACAGAACTTGGCTACAGAACTGATAACTAATTCTCCCAGCTGCAGGGGCTAATACTGCCTGGGCCACAGTAAAGCTGTCTCTGTGGGGCCCAGATCCCTACATAAGCCCAGAAGCCAGCTGGTGGGTAGGGAAGTGAACCCCACCCCTCCTGTGGTCACTTCCCACACCTGCAGCTGGACTGAAGGGTTCACATTCCTGCTAGGATGACCCTCACAAGCTCACTCTCATCCCTGGCCAGGTCAACCAGGGATGCCCTCGTCCTCTCTCTTTCTCAGCCACCTAAGCAATGACCAGACATACACCCAGCCCTCTGTGTGGGGGAGAGAATCCTGACAAGGACAGGAGACAGAGCCTGGGAGGATGACTGTCTGTCATGAAGGTGCCCAAGATGACCCTAAGCTGGCCAGCTGCAGAGTGTGCAGGGATCTTGGTGCAGGTGGGGAAGGCTATTGGTAGGACTTGTGAGGCCAAGGATAAGAGGGCTGTGCAATGTGGAAAGGTGGCCAAACCTGGCAGGACCATGGGAACTGGGTGAGAAGCCAATGCCCAGACTGGTTTGTGCACCCTGCTGGGACACACTTTCCTTAGGGAAGGAACCTGGGGCAAGGACTGGACTGGGTGCTTTGCAAAGCACCTGAAAGGAGTATGGCTCCCAACTCACCTGTCCCCATCTCCTGGACTGGGCCTGACTCGGGTCACCTCCGAAATGCTGCTGTGCCCTCCTAGGACCATGACCAGTGCTCAACAAACCCCAAGGCCTGAAAGCAGATAGATCTTAGGGCCCCAGATTTCCCTGAAGGTCATGGCTGGAAAAGTAAAACCTCAGGGCCGGGCACTTGAGGTTTGCAGTTTTATTAAGAAAACAAAAGTTTAACCTATACAAAAAGGAAAGACCTTCTGTTCCAGTGCTGGTGGGTGCTGTGGAGACTGTGCTGGCTGCTAGGCATCATGCTGCTGGACGAAGGGGTTGGGAATGGCCTCCATGCCGTCCTGCGGGCAGATGAGCACCACAGATGTGCCCCTGCACACCACCAGGCCCAACTGGCGCGTGTCCTCCGTGAGCTTGTACTGGTCATCAGGGTCTGGGGGGGAGCAGACAGAGGCTGAGGTGGCCCCAAAGACCCCAGCCAAAGGGCCTCACAACCATATCTCCAACCTGTATCCCATAGGTGCTGGTAGCAGCCCAAGACCTCAAAAGGGACAAACTCCATCCTGCTGGCTACCAGCCTCCCTGACTCCAGATACATGTCCTTTCTCTTGGAGAGGAGCCACAGACCATCTAGACCAGCAGCTGTGGCAGAAATGGCAGCCAGTTGCTCCTTCCCACAACTGTCAGGAACAGAGAGGCCTAGAGGATGGCAGTCACCCTGATCTGGGAGCTAACTGGGCCCATGCATCCTAGAATTAGGGTCTAGGACCAGCCATTAGCTGCACAGCTGGGACTGCACACCAGGTCCCTAGTTCCTATGTGGCCTGAACAATGAGGCTGTTAATGGTAAGAGGCCGCCCAGGGAGTGAGCTTGTGGTCATAGGAATCCAAAAATCCTCATTCTTGCTATCCTGAGGTATGGGAGAGGGGAGGACCCAGAGGCCCAGCTTTGGAAGCCAGAGACCTAGTCTAGATCTCTTGGGGATAACTGCTCTGGGCCTACCCTTCCCTTCCTGGCCTGGGACAGAGGAACGGTTCTAGTTCCTGATGATAACTCCCAGGTTGTTCAGGGGATGAAACCACAGACCAAACAGGCTCTGGAACAGAGGGCAGAACAGTGGCCACCACTCCTGAAACACTTGGTACTGACACTATCCGAGCCAGGGGCTATCCTTCCATAGGCCAGGAAAGCCCCCTCCCAGGAATAAACGAAGTGAGGTCAAAGCAGCCCCCTCCCTATCCACACAGCCCAGGGATGCTGCCACAGTGGGTTAAACTGTTTATCTTTTCTTGAGAGTAAATCTTGTCTGAGTCTCACCAATGGGCCCCCAAAGGGCAAGACTCCCACACCCCAAGTCTTAGCATCCCCCAAATACCTCAGTTGGGCTGAGGCAGGGCTTGCTGGCTCATAGGTAGGGAGTGCCTGGCTAGGAGGGACTGGGGGCATCAATGGAAGTAAAGACCAGGGGACATGAGGGAGGGCTCTCCAGAGAGGGAGAATGGGCTGGGTGTGAATAGCAGAAATGCCTAAAACATGCTTGCTCCTTATTTCTGACTTGTCCTCTCTGGAACCATGTGGGTACATGTTAAGCACCTGGCAGATATTTAGGAACCAGAGATCGGACAGGCAAAATGCCCCCACATCTCTCAAGTAACTTAAGGCAATGCCAGAAAACCCAGATCAGTAGATAACCAAACATACCCATCAGCTGTCTAACTCACAAAGCTTTGTGCCCTCAGCTTAGGTGGGTATCAGGGGATTGAGGAAGAGATTTAAAATAAGCAAACAAACAAAAAAAGCATCGCATGATGCCCCAGCACCTACTGGTCCAGCTCACCTCTCATATATTCAATGGTCCCATCGAGCACAAGGTTGAGGAGTGGATCGAACCCTTTCAGGATTCCACTGGCTTGGAGAAATCACAAGGAGGAGAAACAGGAAAGTGTGAGGTTTGTTCTGAGGACAGGTGCCCGCCCCAGCACAACACAGGTGTGGGAGCTGACCTCTCCAGGTACAGGAGGAACCTGATGACAGCTGGCTCCAGATGGTCCCCACCACAGCAAGCTCAGCAAATACTTTCTACAGAGGGGTGGCAGCTATGTTGAGACCGCACAGGCCACATGGGATCGGTAACAACTGCTTAGCTCTGCCTGGCTTGGAAGTAGCTGCAGGCAACATGGAATGGCACAGGTGTAGGGGACCAGGAAATTCTATTTATGGCTCTGGAATATCAATTTTGCATAATTTTTTTTTTTTTTTTTTTTGCAGTTTCTGGCTAGGGCCAGGCTTGAACCTGCCATCTGCGGTATATGGGGCTGGTGCCCTACTCCTTGAGCCACAGGCGCTGCCAAAGACTTCTTGTACTTTTATTGTTTTTTTTTTTTTTTTAGTTTTTTGGCCAGGGCTGGGTTTGACCCGCCACCTCTGGCATATGGGGTTGGCGTCCTACTCCTTTGAGCCACAGGCGCCGCCCCAATTTCGCATAATTTTCACATCATGAACTATTCTTCTTTTGATTCTTTTCCAAATATTAAACCATTCTGAGCTCACGGGCAGCACCACAATAGGCAGTGGTTCCTCTATACACTGGGATATCACTCACCACGTAAAGGAATGAGCCTCTGACACAGGCTACAACATGGATGGACCTTGAGAACATCCTGCTTAGTGAGAAGAGCGACACAAAAGGTTCCATTTATATGAAATGTCCATTATAGACAGATCGAGAGATGGGGAATTGGATTCGTGGTTGCCAGGGGCTGGAATGGGAAGTGACTTCTGATGGGGACAGGACTGCTTTTAGGATATAGAAAAGTTCTAAAATTAGGATTAGAGGGGATGATTACACTACATGGTGCCTGACCTTTGCCATCTTTTTGCTCTTTTGGCTTTGTCATGTCTGGTGACCTGAGAAAGGGTGAACTGAGTGCCCCCAATAGGTCTGGATATCCTCTCTACCTGGATATCTCTATGCCTCCTTTGCAGGTTTATCTCAGCCATGGCTCCCCAAGGGGGCAGTAGCTGCCTCTGTGTTCACTGATGCTTTTTCTGCAACTATCTGCCTCCATCCCTCCTAACTCTTCTCATCTTTCAGCCCTCTGGCCGAGTTCTCTTCCCTCTGGTCTCACCCCACAGAAATGGTCATTATTCCAGCCACCTGTCTCACCAAAAGGCAGAGAGTAGGTGCCTATCTGTAGCTATAGCACCATCAAGGGCAGCCCTGTGCAGTAGTGTGGAGGGGCAGGGGACAGGAGCGGAGGGGTTGTAAACTATGGCCCTTGGGTCAAATCTGGTCCACCAACAGTTTTTTTTGAGACAGTCTTACTATAGCAGTGCCATGGCATCACTGCTCATAGAAACCTCCAACTCTTGAGCTTAAGGGATTCTCTTGCCTCAGCCTCCCAAGTAGCTGGGACTACAGGTACCCAGCAAAACGCCCGTTTTTTGTTTTTTTTTTTTGGTTATACTTGTCATTGCTGTTTGGCAGGCCCTGGCTAGATTCGAACCTGCCCGCTCCAGTGTATGTGGCTGGCACCCTAGCCACTGAGCTACAGGTGCCGAGCCCCACCATCAGAGTTTTGTAAATAAAGTTTTATTGGCTCACGTTTGTGGCTGCTTTCCTGCTGCAATGGCAGAACTGAGTAGCTGCTACAGAGGCCATCTGAGCTACAATGCTGAAAATATTCACTGTTTGGCTCTTTCCAGATAAAGTCTGTAATCCCTGTGTAGATTCTGGCTGCCTAGGTTTGGGCTCCTGGTTCTGTGGTTTCCTTGCTCTGTGCTCAGGTCCTTCCCTTGCAAAATGAAGTTCATGGTCTCATGGGATAAGAGTCAGATGCGGCTCGGCGCCTATAGCTCAACCGGCTAAGGCGCCAGCCACGTACACCTAAGGTGGTGGGTTTGAATCCCCAGCCTGGGCCCGCCAAACAACAATGACGGCTGCAACCAAAAAATAGCTGGGCGTTGTGGCGGGCGCCTGTGGTCCCAGCTACTTGGGAGGCGGAGGCAAGAGACTCGCTTGAGCCCAGGAGTTGGAGGTTGCTATGAGCTGTAATGCCATGGCACTCTACCCGGGGGACAGCTTGAGGCTCTGCCTCAAAAAAAAAAAAAAAAAAAAAGAGTCAGATGCAACAATGCATTCAAGCCCTTGGCACAGACCTGGTTGTAATGTGAGTCTGCCATCCTCAAGGGGATGTGAGCACCGAGGCAGACAGGCAGGTCTGTAAGATGGAGGAAGTGTTCCTCTAACCTGGTGAGCCAGGTATGTATTCCTCTCCCCTTGAGTGTGAGATGAGACCTTGGATGCAATATCACCTCCATGCTTAGGTTATGTGACAAAGATGAAGGTGCTTGAATCAGCTGGCTTTGAACTAATCCGGGGTGAGCCAGACCTAATCAGTGGGCCCTACAAGGATGGAACACTTTCTGAAAGAGATTCTCCCACTTGCCTGAACAATTTGAACCTGAGAAATGTTTGTTCAACCTACACTGCTGTAGTAGCAAACTGCCCTGCTGTGAAGAAAGCCCTAAGGCAGGCAGCCTTTAGGACCCAGTAGCATCCCAGCCAACACTAGCCAGAAAATGGGGACTCTGGTCTTACATCCTACACCCACAAAAACTGAGTTCTGCCAAAAGCCAGTGGGTGTGCAGGACTCTGAGCCTGACATGATAGGCTCCAGGAGACATTCCTCTCTTACACCTTCATGAGCGACCTTGAGCTTGAGGTGCCCTGGTGCCTGTCCCACAAATTCTTTTTTTTTTTTTTTTTTGAGACAGAGCCTCAAGCTGTTACCCTGGGTAGAGTGCCATGACATCACAGCTCACAGCAACCTCTAACTCCTGGGCTCAAGTGAGTCTCCTGCCTCAGTCTCCCAAGTAGCTGGGACCACAGGTGCCCGCCACAACGCCCGGCCATCTTTTGGTTGCAGCTGTCATTGTTGTTTGGCAGGTCCGGGCTAGATTCGAACCCATCAGCTCAAGTGTACGTGGCTGGCGCCTTAGCCAGTTGAGCCAGAGGCGCTAAGCCTGTCCCACAAATTCTAAAAGATAATAGTATTGTTTAAGCAGCAAAACTGGTGGTAATTTGCTATACAGAGTAAAAAGACAAATGCAAGCATCTTGAAGAGCAAGGGTGCTTCTTATTCATCTAAGAGCCAGCATGGCATAGACTGAATAAATATTTGTTTGGATTCAAATTCTCATGCCAGGTATCTGAACTTTTGGGCACTATGCTTTCAACAACTCTGATGCCACCCAACTGTCCACATCTCATGATGGAGTTTGGATCTCCATCTTATGAAAAAAAGAGACAAGAACAAAGAGGCTGCTAAGTAAAAGAAATGTTGATTAAGTGCTGACTATGTGGTAGAAACTGCCTCAATTATGTTACATGCCTTTACTCCTTTAACTCTCACCACCACCTGGTGAAGCAAATGTAGTTAGCAGCTTCATTTGGCAAATGAGGAAACTGAGGCTCAGTGGGGATAATTACTTGCCCAAAATCAAGAGTGGAAGAGCTAAGGTTCTAGATTCAAATCCAAGCTGTCCAGAGCTAGAAGCCAAGGGTCAGGCTGTTCAGCTGCTGTTCTCATTATCAGAATGCACTGCCTACTTGAACAAGCAGCACTAACCTGGTGGTTCCTGCCCTCTGAGAGTTCACTCTCTCTTCACTAGATTCTGTGGAAGAGTCAGATGCAGAGTTAGATATCATGTTAATGAAACTGCAAACTGTGCTAGCAAGAGGGGCCTGACCAGAGGTGGAAGGTTAAGGAAGGCTCCCCAGAGCAAGTACCTGGAGATGAACAGAAAACTGACTCTGGAAAGTTCATCTGCCAAGTTCACCTGGCAAAAGTACACTGCAGGCAGAGAGAAGCATGTGCCTTTGCAACCTTCTGGCAGTTGAGAGCTTGATGCCTTACTCAGAGGTTCAGGTTTGGACTTTACTCTGGAAAAATGGGGAGCCTTGGAAGGTTTGGAGCAAGAAGACCCCATTTAACAGATTCACGGGGCTGTGGTTCCCAACAGGTGTAATTCTGCTCCCAGTGACAGTTTTGGTTGTCCCAATTTGGGGATGCTCCTGGTGGACAGAGTGGAGGCTCAGCACCTTGCAGTACCCAGTACGGCCCCAACCCTGAGAATGATCCAGCCGCAATGTTCACGCTGCAGAGGGGCTAGACCCTGGCTTATAGGGAGAAAGAATAGAAGCCCAATCATTGAGGAGCTGGGAGGAAGCTGAAGAGACAGGACTTCATGGGAGACAAAGCCGTGAATCCCAACCCCAGCTGCCCCACTGTGACTTTGGGTTAGGTTTGTTTCTCGTTCCGTGCCTCAGTTTCCCCACCTGTAAAATGGGCATACTAGTTCCTATCTGCCGGCGTTATTAGGGAGATTGCACGAAGTAGTCCGTGTCAAGTGCTTAAAGCAGCGCCTCCGTATCCGTGCCCATCATCATCGCTGCTGCCATGGTTAGTCATTTCCAGTTATTAAGAGAAAGTGCTGGCAGCAGGGACCTCACCTTCGCGGCCTCCCTGGAACTTCACGCGGATAGTCTTGTCGATGTACTTTGACAAGTCCAAAATGCTCTCTTTCTTTTTCTTCTCTTTGTCCTGTGGGGAAAGCAAAGCGCGTGAGGTAGGCAGCGGGCGGCCTAACCCCACGCCGCCGGCTCCCAACTCTGCCGCGCGCTCACCGCCATCTTGCCCGGCCCCTTCACTCTGCGCAGGCCCTATTCCCCGACCTTTGACCCACTCCCAGCGCATGCGCAGCGCTTGCGCGGCTCGGTGCCCCAGGGTGTTGCTGGGAAACATCTGCCGACCGCTGCGGCGGGGACCGGCCGACATGGCGGTGGCGGCTGCGGCGGCGCTGGCGCGGCTCGCGGCGGCCTTTCTGCTTCTCGCAGCCCAGGTGAGCGCTCTGCCGGCCGCGCCGGTCCTGCAGCCTGAGGGGTCCCAGGTCCTCGGCCCCCGTGTCCCGTGCAGGATCCTGCCCGTCCGGCTAGGGGGCCAGCCTCGGGGATCCGCGATCCTCGCACGGCCGGTGCACAGCCGTGACCTTGCGGGTTTTTCTCCAGTTCCTCTCCCTTCCCTTCCTCGGACACCCTTCCCCGCTGCAGCACCACTTCCTTCCGCCCGAGTCTTAAGTTTGTGGACCCCTTCCTCCCTGAGTTCTGCTCGTTCGTTTCGGGGTCTCCAACCGCCGCCAGGGACGCCCTTCTTTGGCTCTGTGGCCTTGGGTAGGTGACTGCCCATTCCTCCCGAGTTTCCCTTTCCCCTTAAAGTAGTGGCGCGGAACTAGCTAGTCCCCACTCCCGGAGTTGCGGTAAGGGTCCGGGAGGCATCCCGCGCGTCCTTGGGTGTCTGGCTGTGTCGAGGAGCGGCCGAGAGCCCACCCTGGGAGCAGGGTGGATTCCCCCCTGGATTTTACTCCGTGACCTTGGGTGAGGGAGTTCCTTGCTTTGAGCGTCAGTTGCCCATCTGCAGAATAAGAGCTAAGAGTGTGGTGTGGGTTTAGGAGGTGATGCACAGAGTGTGGAGGTTGAGGACCAACATCTGCTCAGTATGTTAATTGTGTGTCATGTAGTATGGAGGATGTCGGGTTCCAGTGGAAGACAGTCCATGAGACAGCCAGCTTGTACAGACATAAGTGCATCTTTGATTTCCAAATCTTCCCTCTCTCCTGAGTTCCTTAGCTCAGGAAATGATGTCCTTAGCCCTACAAATGTGTCCCCTTAACCTTGACTCCTACCTGTAGTTCTGACTCTCACAGCAACTCTTCAATCCCATTGCAGTCTCCCTGCCTGTGGCTGCTTTTGTCCCTGACATCCCCAGTCCATTCTCAATACGGCAGGACTGAAGCTTTTCAAAGTGCGTCCGAGCTTGTTGAATCCAGATGAATACTGTGTGACCTGGCTGCTTTGGGAAGCTGCCCTCCACCCCCATTTTTGGCTTCCCGGGACAGACATGGTTAGTTGCAGGTGCTTCACTCTGTGAAATGCCCTCTGCCAAGACATTTTCTCTGCCAAGACAGTTCCTCTCCTGAGTCCCTTCACCAGTGCCCCCACCCTATTGCCTCTGTTGGTGTAGGGACCTCTCTGTCCCTACCATCAGAGAGCACTCCAAGGGCAGGGAGTCTGAGCTGTCCAGACATTATAGAGTTATGAAAGTGGGGAAACCAAGAGTTAGAAGGAGGACTATAAGAACTCCATGGAAGGAGGTGTCTCAGTTTGCCTAGAATGCTCTTCAGAAGCAGTGAGGCCTAGGGGTGTTCTGAAGGATGGGTAGGAATTTGCCAGGGCAGGCAGAAGAGGAAGGGTGTCAGAGGCAACTTGAATAGCCAGAGCTGGGGCTGGGAGGTGTGAGAGCTGGCCATCCTGGGGCAGTGGGTGGGGGGAAATGGGTGTGACTGGCATATAGGGTGGCATAATGCTCGAGCAGGGAGGAATTTACTCTCGAGAAAGGTGTCAGGTGGTCCTTGGAGGGAGACTGAGGTTTCCCCCTCAGAGCTGGAGGGCACAGGCAGGGAACAATGAGAGTGGCTCCAGGTAAAGGATGTGCAGCAGACCTGTGGCCCCCTGGGTAGGGACAGGCTAGGCAGGTCTAAGCCAGGTTGTCGAAGGCTTATGGCACTGGAATACTTGGACTTTATCCTGGGCAGGCTGAGGAGTTCAGACTTTGTCCTGGGCTAGGGAACCCAAGGAAAGTATTTGAGGGACTTGAGAAGAGCGGGTACACCTGCCCTTCCCAGAGCCTTGGTGGTAAACAGTCACACCCCTCAGTGATGTGGTTCATGGAGGTAGAAGTTTGAGTCTGTGCACCCAGGAGTGAGACTGGCTTTTCTCTAGGCAGGAGGCTGCTTGATGACTATCCTGAGCTCATTTGCTACCATTTTGTAATCCTGGGGGAGGGAGCTAACCTCCCTAGGGACACCTACCCCAATTACTACCCTTGATAAAGGCCCTGTGGAGCTGTCACTTGGCAGATCTGAACGAATGTTAGTGTTCCTATCTTACCCTCTCTTCTCCTGATTCCTGGGCCTTCATTCTTCTTAGAAAGAAAACTGTTCTCCAGCCTGGACTCCCTTGTTTGTTTTAAAACTCAGTAATATTGAATGCTTTTTTATGGTAATTCTTTTTTTTTTTTGAGACAGATCTCACTATGTCACCCTCAGTAGGGTACTGTGGCATCACTGCTCAGGGCAACCTCAACCTCTTGGGCTTAAGCGATTCTCTTGCCTCAGCCTCCCAAGTAGCTGAGACTACAGCCGCCTGCCACAACACCCGGCTATTTTTTTGTTATTGTAGTAGTTGTCACTGTTGTTTGGCAGGCCTGGGCCAGGTTCGAACCCACCAGCTTTGGTATTTGTGGCGGGCACCCTAGCTGCTGAGCTACAGGCGCCAAGCCTTTTGTGGTAATTGTGAAGCATAGTTTCTCTAGAAGTTCCTAAGTTTGTTTTGTAATTGAGAAGCATCTGGTCTCTATTTGTGGGCGGTTCCAAGGTATATGCCTAGGTTCAGGGCCTGTCCATGGCAGTCCTCCATTGTCCTGGTCCTCCAAATGTCAGCAGACCCTAATAGAAATTAGAGCCCTTTAGAACTGTATTGACTTGAAGAACTTCTCCCAATTCCTTTAACTCAGCTAGTGAGGAAACTATGCAAAGTTAGACTGTGCTTATCTGGTCTTTGATAAAGGCACAGACTGATTTTTGAGCAGAAAACCAGTTTTGCAAATCATGGGAAGGAGAATCCATGAATGTGCTTTTATGCTCTTAAGTGACTTTTTAAAAGAGAAGTTCTATCAGTTCCTATTTTACACAAAAGACACTTTTCTTTTTTTTTTTTTTTTTTTTTTTTTTTGAGACAGAGCCTCAAGCTATCCCCCTGGGCAAAGTGCCATGGCATCACGCTCACAGCAACCTCTAACTCCTGGGCTCAAGCGAGTCTCCTGCCTCCGCCTCCCAAGTAGCTGGGACCACAGGCGCCCGCCACAACGCCTGGCCATTTTTTGGTTGCAGCCATCATTGTTGTTTGGCGGGTCCGGGCTGGGGATTCGAACCCGCCACCTTAGGTGTACGTGGCTGGCGCCTTAGCCGGTTGAGCTATAGGCGCCGAGCCAAAAAAAAGACACTTTTCAACAAAAACCCTGATCCTGTAGAGGAGGGCCTATGAAGTGTTTTCAGGAAAGGAATAGGCAGTAAATACTTTCAGTTTTATGGGTCTTTGTTTCTGTTATTGAACTCCAGAGCTGGAGGCCCCTCACCCAGGACTGTTGTGGTAAAACTTTATCTACAGATAGAGGTGATGGGCTGGTTCGGTCTCTTGGAGTTAGGTTCTTGGCCTTGCTGTGACCCATAAGCTCCCTCCTGGACAGGTGCTGGGGGCTTTAGACATTGGATGGCTATGTTGGAAGGGGTGCTTTTTGGGCCCAGCACCAGACTGAGGGGTACACTTAGGGGTGGGCAGTCTGGAAGAAGTGGCTCCAATTCTTTGATTTGAGTAGGGGAAGGAAATGGTTTCAGCCATATACTTTGAGACCCTGGTTGACCAAGGGCCCCTCCTGCCCTTGCCTCTCAAGAGCACTGGTGACATAGGTTCCATTCACAAGGCTCCTGCTTGGTACCCTGTGAACCTGCTTCCCTCAGCATACCTTGCACTTGGGTAGGAAGGGATGGTCATTGTCTGATTAGACAGTGGGGCCCAGGACCTGGCCCTCACTTGAGATAATGCAGCTAGCAGAGCCCCCGAGTGGGTGCTAGGGCCTGTCATGCCAGGTGGCATGTGCAGGTCCTGGTGTGTTAGCCCTAGGTTGTGGGGATGGGGCACCCCGGGCCAAGTCACGGTTGCCCTCCCCAGCCCCTAACGTGGCAAAGCTACAGCTGCATTCAGGCCCAGCTGTTGTGGTGTGGACCCTACAATACTGGCCTTGACAACTAGGTGCAGATTAGTGTCTGTCCCCACCACATATGTGTTGTCAGGGCTGTAACATGTTTGTTTCCCTGGCAGGGACACAGGGGGAATGGGAGGTTATGGTTCTGTCTCTGCTCCAGTAAGTTCATAGCCCAGCAGTAGGAGTGACAGGCCATAGGAGCCTGAAGTATGCAGATAAATGCTGGGGCTGGAGGGCCCAGGGCATGTGGGTAGGTGGCAGCTGGGCGGGATAGGCCTCCTCTTCCCTGCACAAGGTTTCTCTCCCAAGATCCCTCCTCCTTCTGCAGGCCTGGGTGTGCAGTGTGGCAGAGGCATCAAGACCTGGGCCCCCACCCTGTGACACCCACTCACAGGTCTCAGGGGACAGGTGTCCCTGAGATGGCACCTTCTCCCCCCTTTTGCAAAGGTGGGTCCTGCAGAGAGCAGGTGTGGGGACAGTTGTCTGTGTTCTGCTGGTGTTAGCCACCTGTTGTGAAACTTTAGCCCACCTGGAAGAGGTGCAGCTCCTGGCCCTAGCCTACTTAGGACCTGAATGCCCTGTGGTCCCTTCTGCCTGTCCACTAATTATTGTGCTTCAGAGTGGAGTTGAGGGTGCTGACCTGGCATCCCCCTGGCCAGTGCCCTGTTGGATTGGTCATGTGGGGCCCTGATGTCCCCTGGGGCACCAATAGTCCATTTTCACATGGGCCTGTGGGTTAAGGGCCATCCCCAAATCTGCTGGGGCTCTAGAAGCTTGTTCAGGCCTCTTGTGTTGCCCCATGGTCTAGCCCATGGTTCCTTGGCTGCATGTGACCACCCAGGCCTGAGGACAGATCTACTGGCTTGCTCCGCACCTCCTCCAGGTTCCTCCCAGGCTGTCCCCATCCACCCTAGGAGGCCAACGGGGTGGTACAATCCCAGTTTATTGATGCAGAAACTCTGGAGCCACAGAGACTTGATACTGCCTCTGGTTATGAGCCCTTGTCTTCTGGGGAAGGCACACTTGTCTGTATTCTTGTCATATGATGTGTGCAGTCATACCTTGCTATCCTGTAGAAGGGAGGAACATCCCAGACCACTTTGTGAGCATGGCCATCTAGCCCCTGTATCTCTACAGCCCTGGTGAAGCAGGCTCTGACTGCCACTTTGTCATTCCAGGTGGCCTGTGAGTACGGCATGGTGCACGTGATCTCTGAATATGGGGGCCCCAAAGGCAGAGACTACTGCATCCAGTACAACCCTCAGTGGGCTCACCTGCCACACGACCTCAGCAAAGCGGTGAGTGTCTCTGGCTCTGCCTCCTCTCAGGGCTCTGTAGGACTCACTTTGCAGGAGCTGGCTGGAGGAAAGTCTTAAGTTAGGAAACAGGTGTGATCTGGTCAGAGAAAAGAGGCAGTCCCCAGTTTGGTGGCCACTTGCCACTGGTACTGCTGAGGTCTGGGTGTCCTCAAAGGGACTCCAGCCCTGCAGCCTCAGATTTTCTGATCATAAATGAAAGCTGTCCAGAGGGGGGACTGGGCAGGAGCCCTCTAGAGATGCTGCTGAGCCCCCATATGTTGGACAAGGGTTTCTGCTGCTCTGTGCTGGGATTTGTGTGGAGTGAGCCAAGACTGAGAGTCCTAGGAAGAGCCACCGCATTGGGCAGTTGGAGCCTTGGAGATGAGGCCACCTCCTTCCCTGCTTCCCTCTGGGTCATAGCCTCCATTTCTCAACCCATAGAACCCTGGGGAAACTCTGGCTAGGGGAGCAAGTCTTACCTCAGAGGCTGCTGCTCCCTCTCTGACCTCACCTTCCCTCATCCCATACTGAGGTCCAAGGCCTGTCCCTTCCTCCCTATCTGCCGTGTGTAGTGTGCATGCGTGTGAGCTCCTGTGAGTACCTGTGTGCCCTTGTGTATCTGTGTGGGGTGGTGCAGATATATGAGGCTGTGTTAATGCACCTGCATGCTTGTAAATGTCAGTGTGAGTGCGTGCATGTGTGCATGTGCATGTGTGTGCACGTGTGCCTGTTACATACCTGTCTGTTATATGTGCTAGGAATGCGTGTATATGCACAGGGGCTGTGCATGATCATGTGTGTGCCTGTGTACATGCATGTGCTTGTCATGTGTGCTGGGTGTGTTCATGTCCACCTAGCTGGGGACTGTGGGAACTGGGGCTTTGATTTCTGTGCTTAGGGACCTGTCCCTAGCAGAAGATGGGGGCCTCCTTGGTCTTGCTGAATGAACTGTGACACCGCCACAGTTGGGTGTCTCAGATATTTGGAAGACAGCTCTGAGTCTGGTGAGGACTTTGTGAAGCTTGGGACACAGTGGGTTCCCTGACAGTGTGTGTCGTGTGGGTCTTAGAAGAAAGCAGAGGAGCAGACATATCCCAAACCTGACTGTGCTGTGCCTGACCCTGCTTCCCCAGATGTAGTGGGAAGGGCAGTGACTGGACAGGTTCTGGGGTGTGGCAGGTTGTAGGCCCAGAGTATGGGGCCCCAGGCTTGGGATGGCAGACCTGGCCCTGACCTGGCTTATTCCCGGGGGAGCTGCTGGACCTGTGGCCTTTTGGACTATGACTGGACAGATTTGAGTACCTTCTCAGGCTTCCAGAGCTTCCTGCTGAAGGATCACTTGGCATATGGGGAGAGCCAAGGTTGTTCTCTCAGACACAGATCCTTGGGCCATTAGTGCCCTCCTCAGTGGCCCTGGAGAGCCTGCCAATGCCCTCTCAGATGAGCCCCCACAGTGTCCTGCTGGTGGGAAGCAGCTCAGAGAAGCCCCATCCAGCTCCTCCTCAGGCCCCCTCCAGCCCTGAGGCTTGCTGTTGTGGGCAGGGCTGAGGCCATATGGGGAGTTGGGGCGGCATCAGGGTACAGTTGTTGAAGTGCTTTTGGGTCATGGAGGAGTGTGGCCTGGGCAGTTTTCCCTGATAGTGCAGCTCTAGGAGACATCACCGCACTCCAGCTCTTCTAGAAGTCGTGCCTCTTCCCCTCCCCAGTCTCTCCTGCAGCTGCGCAACTGGACAGCATTCCTGCTCTGTTCTCCCGGTGACCTGCCCACCAATGGCTTCAGCAACCAGATCCCACTGGTGGCCCGAGGGAACTGTACCTTCTACGAGAAAGTGCGGCTAGCCCAGGGCAGTGGGGCACGCGGGCTGCTTGTCGTCAGCAAGGAGAAGCTGGTATGGCTGCCCCTGTGTATCATGGGTCCTGTGTTCCAGGGCTGGGTGAGGGAACGCTCTCTGGTGTCTGGCCAGGGCAGGCCTTCCATGGGAAGGAGCTTGGCAAAGTTGGCTGAGGGGACACTGGAGCAGATTCAGGTGGGATGGGCAGGCAGTGGGCAGTGAGCCCAAAGTTCATGGCTGATGTTACTGGCTGGGGCCATGGACCCTCAGATATGATCTTAGAGGAAGTCTGTCCTGGAGGGCGGCTAGAGACCCACTCTTCAGCTGGGTCTCAGGACAGGCTTGAGGTGACTGAGGAGTAGGTAGCATGGTCCCTGAGCTGGCCTTTCCCCTAGGGCCCTGGTACCCTGGCCCATGGAGCTGGCCAAGCCCAGGCCTGACGGGAATTCACATCTGTGGTTTTGGCCAGGTGGCCTGAAGCCCAGCTTTAATTCTTCTGCAAAGTGGGCCTGTGGTTGAAAGCCAGGGCCTTACCCATGTTGGGCCGGGCAGGTGCACAACCTCCCCTGAAGTGCAGTTGGGGAGTAGGAAGTGGTTGGGCTTGGGAATTTCCTTGTAACCCTGCCTGTGGCTGCACTGGCCCCTGCTGATGCCCTGGCTTGGGTCTGGGTGTCCTGGGGGGTCTGGCACAGGGACAGGAGGGCTCAATGGCAGAGCAGGCCTGGGAGAGCAGTTGCCTTCTCCACCTGCATAGCTGCCAGCATGATCAGGAGAGAAGCCCTTGGCAAGCACTGGGCTCAAAATGTCTTTGTGGGTGGGCACTGAATGGCGGCAAGACTGGGCCATGCCTGGGATCCACAGGTCCTCTATGGGGTGAATATCATAGGATATGTCTGAGTGGCCAGTGGCCAGCTGGAGGAGGGGGTTAGTGTTTTTTTTTTTTTTTTAAGACTGGGGCCCTTTCATTAAACAGGGAAGGGTCAGTGATTTTCAACCAGTGTGCTGTGAGAAGATCTTAGGTATGCCTTGAAAATTTTAATTATTACTTAAATTATATTTGAAAGAAGTTGTCAAAGCACAATAAGTGGTTTTTTACTTTTTGATCAACATAATTTAAGTGTGCTGTGGAAGTTTGTAGGTTCAAGTGTGTTGTGAGATTAAAAAAAGGTTAAAAAACACTGGTCTACAAGCCCTGTAGTCCTCCTGGGGGGCTGGAGGCTGTCAGGTATGGTGGTGGAATGTGTGGGCTCAGCTTGCCTGGACCCAAGCTCCAAGCGCCAGTTCCCAGAGAGGAGGCAGATGGGGGTGGGGGCTTGGAGCCCCATCCACTGCCTGTGAGCAGTTCAGTTGACTCTGCTGCTCTGAGCTGACTGTCCTTCCCTCCCTCTTGGCCCAGGTCCCCCCAGGGGGCAACAAGACACAGTATGACGAGATTGGGATCCCTGTTGCCCTGCTCAGCTACAAAGACATGCTGGACATCTTCAGGGTAGGCTCTGCCACCCTTTCAGCCCTGGGTTCCCAGGACAGGGTGGGCAGGGTCTTTGGGATGGTTGCCAGGTGGTCCTTGCCCAAGTCAGCACAATCAGGAGCAGCTGGTGAGGGCATGGCCTGTGCGGGATAGAGTCCCTAGTTGCCAGCCCCATGACTCCTGCTCTTGCCTCTGCGTGGCACCTTGACATGTAGCTCTGGTGTTTCTTGAGGCAGCGTTTTGGCCGAGTGGTGAGGGGGGCACTGTATGCCCCTAATGAGCCGGTGCTGGACTACAACATGGTCGTTATCTTCATCATGGCTGTGGGCACTGTTGCCATTGGGGGCCACTGGGCTGGGAGCCGGGATGTGAAGAAGTGAGTGATGCATGCTTTGCATTTTCATGTGGTGGGTGGGTGGGCAGCTCTGACTCTGGGACCAGGGCAGCTGGAGAGTATAAGGGGCCCAGCAGGGATCCTGACCACAGTTGAGGGCTGGTAGCACTCAGCATCTGCCATACAGGTGGAGTGGGGAGCTGGGGCTGGAAGGATGTTCCACATTTTTCCCATTGGAAACAATCATCAAAGCTTCACCCCTTAGTGGTTTGGGGAACCCGTCTCTGAGTTCCTTCCCTGGAGTCCTTTGACCTCTTCATCCTCGAGAGGTCCTTGGAGCAGGACCTGGCTCTGGATGCCCCCATCATGGGGCACATGGGTCACATGGTAGGATTGGAACAATTTGACCAAAGTGGAGAGTGGCAGTGTGGCAGTTGCTCTGGTAATGTCCTGAGATGCCTGCCCTATATTTGGGGCCTGATGGCAGACACAGGATAAAGTTGTTCCTGCAGAGCCTGAGGGTCACTCTGGCCTCTGGCCTGGGCAAATGATCCCCTGCTGAGCCATCTCTGCAGACATTGGCCTTGGTGTTCTCAGCAGTGTGATCTTTCTCTGCCCTGGGGATGTTTGGGCAGTGGTTCTATGCACTTCTGTCCCTTCCTGGGTCCTCTCCTAGTCCTGGGTTTCTGTCCTGTCCCCTGGAACTATGCCCACCCAGGCACCCCCTGACTCTGTGGTGTACCCAAGAAGGTACATGAAGCACAAGCGAGATGATGGGCTTGAGAAGCAGGAGGATGAGGCTGTAGATGTGACACCGGTCATGACCTGCGTGTTCGTGGTCATGTGCTGCTCCATGCTGGTGCTGCTCTACTACTTCTATGACCAGCTCGGTGGGTCCCGCAAGAGGCTGGGTAGGGTGGATAAAATGGGAGTTGGGGCAGGAGGCAGCTGGGGGGGACTCCTGCCTCACAGCAGCATCCCCACAGTCTATGTCGTCATTGGGATCTTCTGCCTGGCCTCCTCCACGGGCCTGTACAACTGCCTGGCGCCCTTCGTCCGGAGGCTGCCATTCTGCAAGTGCAGGTGAGCCCCTGGCCCAGTCCCTCCCCTCTTGGCACCAACCTCTCCACCCCCAAAGCTCCCAGCCTGCATAGGTTCACCCTCCCTTCCTCACATCTTGCTTGATGAAGCTGTTAATGGAGTGGAGCCCCCCACCCCCTCTGTGGGGCTGGATGCAGTAGAGGATATGCGGGATGCCCTGTTTGAGGGGCCCAACCCAGCTGGGCTCTGAGAGGTGTCTGGGCCAGCCCCACTTAGGGCACCCCAGCTGGCTACATGAGTCAGAAGATTCCAAACAGCCCAGGTGCTTGGTCTGACTCTCACAGGGTAAATTGGCAGTTAGGGTTTGGGAAGCCAGGCTTATCCTGCATGAATGGCAAGGGGGGTACCCGAGCAGGCAGGACCTGGGAGAGGAGATGCCATGAAGATGGGGGGCTCAGTGGGCATAGCTAGCCCAAGAGTCCAGTGCCTGTCCAGTGCAGGGCTCTGCTCTGTCATGTGGGGGATGTTGATGTCATATGGGGGAAGAAAGTGAGGTTGTGGGGTGGCTCTGGAGGCCAAGGAGGCCTCAGAAAGGTAGTGGTGGGGTGAGGGGTCGTGGTGCTCAGCTTTCTGACCCGCAGCCCCCTCCCTGTCCTCCAGGGTCCCGGACAACAGCCTGCCCTACTTTCACAAGCGCCCCCAGGCCCGCATGCTGCTCCTGGCACTTTTCTGCATCACTGTCAGCGTGGTGTGGGGCATTTTCCGTAATGAGGACCAGTAAGTGTAGGCCTTCCTAGGCCCACCACTCCCTCCCATGCCTATCCTCAGATGCTCCGGGAAGCCCTGACTTTCCTGCCCTCCTGGAGGCCACTCAGGGCCTCCTGGAGCGAGATGAAGGGTTCCCTGCCTGCCACCTGCATCTGGTTTCATCTGAGTTTGTCTGAGTGCCATGTGGGCCTTGATAAGAATCTGAACAGGCGAGGCTGTGAAACCTCCTGACCTGTGCCCCATCCGCCATGCCTAGGTGGGATCCTGGGTGGGATCCTGGGCAGGGCTGGACAACACTGTGCAGAGCCACTGCCCCCACCCTGTTCACACTACCGGCTGAGAGGACTGGGACATGGGCTCTGATGACACTGGGTCCTCATGGTCCTGCCTGCCCATGGCCATTGAGCAGTGGCAGGGTGAGGGGCAGGCACTGCTGCCCCCATGCTCACTGGCCGTGTGTCATGGGCTTGTGGTTGCCTCTCTAGCCTCCCCTGTGAGGCAACGCTTCTGGCACTGTGGCTGCGGAGGATAGAGTTGGCCTGTCCCTGCTCAGTTCTGCTGCTATCGCTGACACCATCTGGCGCCTTCTCCAAGCCTTACTTAGGCAGCCAAATGCTCTTGGCTTCAGCTCCCATTGGAGCCACAGCAGACTTGACTGGCAGAAGGGAAACGTGAAAATATTTTGAGTCCTTTGTACACAAAGAGAAAATGAACTGTTTCAGTTAAATCTGAGCCAGGAAACTCAATGCATTGCATGAAATTAGAACAGGCCACAGTTTCCCGCTGCATCTGGGTGCCTGCGGTGCATAACCAACTGAAATTGGCTTTGGGAAGCCTCTTTGTTCTTTGCCACTATGCTGCCTGGGAGATATTTTTATCCCATTTTCAAATGAAGCATTTAGTGTTTTGAGACTTGGAGGAACCTCAGAGGTGATTTGCCCAGCAAGTGGCAGCAGAGCCCATACCCAGAGTGCCGGGGCTGGTAGGAAGGGGGATGGTAGACCTGTGTGAGCAAGGAGAGCTCATGAAGGTTGAGGGAGGCTGTGGGGCTACAACCTCTTAAGGAAGCATTTTCATGTTTTGCCTCTGGGCACCTGGCTGCATAGGGCCCACCTAGAGATTCTGTGTGACAGCCGTCTGAGTGTAGGTGTCATTTGAACAGGTAGCTTGGACCGAATGATGCCCAGTCCCTCCGGCACATGTACCCCTCTGCCCTACCCAGTCTGTGTTCTGTGATCTCGCTGTGAATCCACTGCTATCCCAGTCCCATGTTCTGCCCCTTGGTGTAGAGTCTCAGCAGTCTGGCTCTATTCCAGCATCTTGGGGACCCTTCCCTGCCTTCCTTAGTGTCCTCCTCTGGCTAGGGTGGGATGATAGTGGGGATAACTTGGTGGCTAAGGTGACCCAGAAACAAGGGACCCTGAGGATTATGGCTGGTTGGTGGAGGATAAGGCCAGGGTGCAGAGTCCTGGGTCATTGGGGGAGCCCCTACTCCAGTGGTGACACAGCTTTATCTTCCAGGTGGGCCTGGGTCCTCCAGGATGCCCTGGGCATTGCCTTCTGCCTCTACATGCTGAAAACCATACGCCTCCCCACATTCAAGGTGAGGGGCTTCCCCTGGCCTGGCCTGGGCAGGTGGTATTTGCAAGTCTATCCTGCTACTTACCTCCCTTGGGATGGCCCACTGAGCCAGAAGTAGACTCAGAGTCAGGTCCAGAATCTCCTGATTTGGCCTGAGTGGGTTGCTGAAGGGCATCATTTCCAGCAATGGTACTTAGAATTAGGATGAAGTGACAGGAAAAACAGCTTGACCACGGGCCATACTGTATGCTACTCAGTGGAGCTTCGATTAGTGACTGGGGTGTCCTTAAAACCTGTAGCCTTGCCAGGTGTGGTGTCTCATGCCTCTAATCCCTAGCACTCTGAGATGCCAAGGAAAGTGGATTGCTTGAGCTCAGGAGTTTGAGACCAAACTGAGTGAGATCCCTGTCTCTACTAAAAGTAGAAAAAACTAACCAACTGTTGTGGCAGGTACCTGTAGTCCCAGCTACTTAGAGGCTGAGGCAAGAGGATTGCCTAAGCCTAAAAGTTTGAGGTTGCTGTGAGCGATGATGATGCCATGGTACTCAACTCAGGATGACAGGTTGAGACTGTCTTAAAAAAAAAAAAAAATAAAAATAAAAACCAAACAAAACCCCTCTACAGCCTCTGTATGGAGGCCCTCCCTTTACTGTTGTTCAGTCCTTGAACTGTGACCTGAAGCTGCTTCCAAAGCACTTTCCCTCTTACCCCAGTGACTGAGTGAGCTTTGCATAGACTTTCTTGTAAAGGCTCCTCTAACCCAAGAAATGCCTTTTTTTTTTTTCTTAAGACAGTCTCACTTTGTCACCCTCAGTAGAGTGCTGTGAAATCACAGCTTACAGCAACTTTAAACTCTTGGGCTCAAGCAATTCTCTTGCCTCAGCCTCTCAAGTATCTTGGACTATAGGCACCTGCCACAATGCCCAGCTATTTTTAGAGACCAGGTCTCACTCTGGTGCAGGCTGGTCTCGAACTTGTGAGCTCAGGCAGTCCACCCACCTTGGCCTCCCAGAGTGCTAGGATTACAGGTGTGAGCCACCGTGTCTGACCCAAGAAATGGCTTTTAAGGAGAAACAAAAGAAAAATGAGGGAGGCGAAAGGAGCATGTCCTGGGCAGGGGCCTAGGGTTGGCATGGGGGTGTATCCCTAGGAGGGGCATGTCTTGAGTGTGGAGGTGTGTCCTAGGTGTTGCATTGGAGGTGTGCCCCAGCAGAGCTGTGTCCTGGATGGGACATGGAGGGATGTCCTGGATGGGGAGTGGGCCATGTCCCTACCAGGAGTGTGTGTTGGGGGGAGGGGGAATGTCCCGGGTGAGCACTACCCCTCTCAGGCCTTCTGCTTCCTCAGGCCTGCACGCTGCTGCTCCTGGTGCTCTTCCTCTATGACATCTTTTTCGTGTTCATCACACCTTTCCTGACCAAGGTAGGTGCCCTGCCACCCTGCCCTGCCCATGTGTCCCCACTCCTTCCCTCTCCTTTGCCCCCTTCCTGTCCTAAAACCTGTTTTATGCAGAGTGGTAACAGCATCATGGTGGAGGTGGCCACTGGGCCCTCAGACTCGGCTACCCATGAGAAGGTATGTCCCTGGCCACATGGGGTAGGGAGTTCCTTGGCAGGACTTGTCCTGAGGAGGTATCTCCTTTCTCTGCAGTTGCCAATGGTCCTGAAGGTGCCTAGGCTGAACTCCTCACCGCTAGCCTTGTGTGACCGGCCCTTTTCCCTGCTGGGCTTTGGAGACATTTTAGTGCCAGGTATCAAGGCTGGTGGGGCACAGGGGTCAGTGCTCCAGATAGGCCCCAGTGAGTACTGAACCAGCCTTCCTGTGGGGCAGGGACTACTTGAGCCCGAGCCCTGGCCTCTGGCTGGCCAGGTCTACCTTTTGGGAGTGATGACCAGGGTGGAGGTAAAGCCCAGGGCTCAGGACCTGGTAGGAGTGGGTGGCAAGGGCTGCTATCTCAGTGTGTGTGGGGCGCTGGTGGGTTCCTCAGGATTGGGTAGCCCAGGGAGTTAAGGGCAGCCTCCTCACTGGCCATCCTGGCCGTGGCTGCACTATTGCTTGTGGGGATTCCTTGCTGCAGAAGGCAGAGAGTGTGCCTTTGCCAGTTTTACCCCTGAGGATCGCTGTGAGGTTCGTACCCACTTACTGCTTTAGTTTACCCACTGAGGTATTGGGGTGGCACTGCCAAAGCTTCACTTAAGCTGGTGGTGTGGCATTTTATGAAGTGACAGTGATAGCCATGTGCCTGGTAGATGTTTAGAGGCAGCCTGGTTCTTCCCAGAAACACCCCCTGTGAGGCTATGGGGACAGACTAGGTGCCTTAAGCAACTTGAGTAAATCTCTACCCTCCTCCTTCAGGGTTGCTTGTAGCGTACTGCCACAGGTTTGACATCCAGGTGCAGTCCTCCCGGGTGTACTTCGTGGCCTGCACCATCGGTACGTAAGGCATATATGCCCATGAGGCCAGGCTGTGCCCAGTGCCTGTCAGTTCCAGCTACACCCCCCACATACCATACTTAACCTCTGTCATAGCCTAACCTTAGCCCTAGCCATGACCCTGACCCTTGCCCTAAGCCTAACTCCTACACCCCACACTCAGCCTCTCCCCTACCTTACCCCTAACTAACCTTAGCCATGACCTTGACCCTGACTCTAGCCCTAGCCCTAACCCTAACCCTAACCTTTCCAGGAGCTGGGCTTTCTGATGTCAGCCTGTGCTGGCATTGCCACCCTTTTTCTTACTTTCAATGGCTTCTGTTCTTTTCCCTTTCTTTTTTTGCTTTTCTTTTTGTCTTCCTCTTCTTTGTCTTGTCTTCTACTTGTTTCTTTTGTTACCCAAACCATTTGCACAAAAGTGTCATTTTCTGTGGAGCCAGTTTGATTGCTGCCACCCCTACTGGCTCTCAGGTAGAATTTGTCACCCTCTTATGCTCTATGGCATGCGTGTGCACACACATACACACGTGCCTGCCTTCCTCTGCAGGAGAGCCAGGCCTGTGGGTGCACATGGCAACCCCACCACTCCTCATGCATCTCTAGCCCTTACTGTCTGCCCTCACTCCTGTGTTCCTACAGCTGCTCACATAACCCTTGGTTTTTCCCTTGCCCTATTTTACAAACCTCAGTCTTCCCTTGTGGTTTCACAGTCTTTATTTAGCTTTAAACGTGTAACTGCAGAGATTTTCCTTTCTGCTGAGCCACAATGTCAAATTGTTCTTACGATTCTTTTTTTTTTTTTTTAGAGACAGAGTCTCACTTTATCACCCTCAGTAGAGTGCTGTGCCATCACAGCTCATAGCAACTTCCAACTCCTGGGCTTAGGCGATTCTCTTGCTTCACCCTCCTGAGTAGCTGGGACTATAGGCAACCGTCACAATGCCCAACTATTTTTTGTTGCCATTTGACAGGGGCTGGCTTTGAACCCACCATTCTTGGTATATGGGGCTGGCGCCCTACCCACTGAGCCATGGGCGCTGCCCTGTTCTTATGATTCTTATAACTGAAACCATTTAGATCTATAGATAACAAACCAAATTGATCAATAGGCCAGGCCCAGTGGTTCATGCCTATATTCCTAGTACTCTGACTTTGGGAGGCCAAGTTGGGAGGATTGCTTCAGGCCAGGAGGTCAAGACTAGCCTGAGCAAGAGGAAGACCCTGTCTCTACAAAAAATAGGAAAATTAGTTGGGCATTGTGGCAGGCACTGGTAGTCTCAACTACTTGGGAGGCTAAGAGAAGAGGATTCCTCAAGCTCAAGAGTTTGAGGTTACTATGAGCGGTGACAATACCCACTGCACTCTAGCCTGGGTGAGAGAGTGTGACCCTACCTCAAAAATAAAATAGATAAATATAAATAAGTAACAGATGGGAATATTCCCTATATAATTAATCAGAAATGTGAGATATTATTAGATAAAATAGACAAATGTTAAAACATAGTTGCTGGGCTTGGCGCCCATAGCACAGTGGTTACGGCGCCAGCCACATACACGGAGGGTGGCGGGTCCAAACCCAGCCTGGGCCAGCTAAACAACTGCAACAAAAAAATAGCTGGGTGTTCTTGTGGGTTCCTGTAGTCCCAGCTACTTGGGAGGCTGAGGCAGGAGAATCACTTAAGTCTAAGAGTTTGAGGTTGCTGTGAGCTATGATGCCACAGCACTCTACTGAGGATGAGAGGGTGACATAGTGAGACTCTATCTCAAAAAGAAACATAGTTGTTGGTGACAGCATCTCTTTTTTCTCTTTTTCTAGGAGAAAGTGCTCTCCTAGAAAATTTATTTTCTTATAACTTTTTAAAGTACAGTAATATGTCCATAGCTGAGCCATCTCCCTACATTGACCACCTCCTTAAGTTGACTTAATTCTCATAGATCAGAGAGCTAGATGTATACATGTGGGCCACATGTATACATCTGTGCAGCAGGCCTTGTTCTTATGTTGACTATTTTGCTACCTTCCCCCGGGTGTTCAATTTACAGGGTTCTACTGTAATTTCAAACTGACACTTGTAACATTAGTATGAAGAACCCCTATATGTCCTGCGCTCAGATTATTGACTGTTAGCATTTCATCACATTTCTTTATTATATTCTCACTCTCTTTTCATGTGTATATACAATTGACCCTCTGCATCCACAGAGTCAACTAACCATAGATATTCAGGAAAAAAGATATTCAGGAAAAAGATCTGAGTCTCAACTATATGTGTACTGAGCCTATACAGATCTCTTGTCAGTATTTCCTAAACAACACAGTCTAACAACTATTTACACAGCATTGGTTTTGTATTAGGTCTTACAAATAACTTAGTAGTGACTTACAGTGTACAGGGGGATATGTGCAGCTTGTGTGAAAACACTGCCACTTTTTATCACGGACTTGAGCGTCTGTGGAATTTGATATATGGAGGAGGAGGCTGGGGGTCCTGGAACACTGGTTGTGTGCACATTGGTGTACGTGTGCATGTAAATTGCACATAAATAGTAGCATGTTTCTGGACTGAGTAGCTTGTAGACACCGTGTCCCTGTCTCCTAAATGCTTCACTGAGTGTTTCCTTTTACATGACCGAGAACAAGGACATCCTTTTATGTGACCACAGTTCAGTGGTCAGAGGTTCCTAATTATGTAGCTGTGCTACCTTAATGTTATTTTTCTAATTAAAGATACATTTAAAAAACCCCAGATCCTTGGCCATAACTCTTAGCTCTTCCTCTGACTACTTCTGAGATTCTAGACTTTTCCCACAACTACTGGGTACTGACCTGGAGCCTACCTTCTCCCCATCTCCTCCCTCACAACATACTCTATCTTCGGCCCTTTTGTTATTCAGGGAACCCTGACCCCTCTCACCTGCTGAGGTGGAGGTGGAGTAGGTGTGTGTCCCAGGAAGTGAAGGAAGGATCCATGTACCCATGGGGACATGTGTGACCCCACACTGACCACCTCTCCCGTCTTCATGTCTCCCTCTGTCCTCCACTATCGGTTTCTCCTGCCCTAGCTCAGAGTATTCTTGTGGCCTCAGCTACCTGAGGTAACATCCCTCTCTCCCTCCAGCCTATGGCATCGGCCTCCTGGTGACGTTTATGGCCCTGGCCCTCATGCAACGAGGCCAGCCTGCCCTCCTCTACCTGGTGCCTTGCACACTGGTGACGAGCTTCGCTGTGGCGCTCTGGCGCCGGGAGTTGGGCGTGTTCTGGACGGGCAGCGGTTTTGTGGTGAATACCAGTTTGCTATGACTGCAAGAAATAATAGCCTAATAAGCCCTAACTAGAGATAAAGTTGAGTAAGACCTCTTAGTATTTAACTAACCCCGCACCTAGCAGGTCCTGGGGTCTGGGTCTCCCCATGTCTGGAAGGTCCTGCTTTTGGTGTCATGCATGTGTGGTTCTGTGCTGGGGGTGACCCGAGGATACACATGAACTCCTGGTTGGTGTGGGTTTGCTATCCTCATGCACAGTAACATTCATTTGAGTGGATATGGGGCTCCCAGCTGTTGCCATTGAGAATGCAGCCTGACCCTCACTGTAGAAACCCTGTCCCCCTAATGGGTGCTAAGAATGGGATGCCCTGATGCAGGGAGGGGCTTAGGGCTATGTCACTTTTGCTTTCCTATCTTTTTTTTTGGAGACAGAGCCTCAAACGGTCCCCCTGGGTAGAATGCCATGGCATCACAGCTCACAGCAACCTCCAACTCCTGGGCTCAAGCAAGTCTCCGCCTCCACCTCCCAAGTAGCTGGGACCACAAGTGCCCACCACAACACCTGGCTATTTTTTGGTTGCAGCCATCGTTTGGTGGGCCTGGGCTGGATTCAAACCCACCACCTTAGGTGTATGTGGCTGGTGCCTTAGCCACTTGAGCCACAGGTGCTGAGCCTGCTGGCCTTTTAAAACATGAGAGGGGGAAGGCTGAGGTGGGTTGATCACTCGAGCTCGAAAGTTTAAGACTAGCCTAAGCCAGAGCAAGACTCCATCCCTAAAATACAGCCAGGCGTGTGGCGGGTGCCTGTAGTCCCAGATACTCAGGAAACTGAAGCAAGAGAATCACATAAGCCCAAGAGTTGGAGGTTGCTGTGAGCTATGACACCATGGCACTCTACTGAGGGCAACAAAGTGAGACTCTGTCTCAAAAAAAAAAAAAAAATCGCAAGAGGGATGGGTTGGGCCCCTTCTTGTGTGATATAGAGCATTGTCTAAGAGGGGTGATGGTGCAGATTTCCAGAACTCTCAGGCATGCTGTGCCCTACTTGTGGCTGTGCCCTAATTGTGGCTGCCCCTTGGACACTGGGAGCAGCCATGGCAGGAACAGGGACCTGTTTAGACCCTGTGGGATCTGGATAAATTGTCCCACAAAAGCAGCCTCTGTCCCTGGTAAATTGTTCCTCTCAGCAGTGCCAGCACACATGGGTTACTGTGCTGGGCTCCTCTCAGGGTGAAGCCTGTTCCTTCTGTGCTGGGGTTAGTGTTGGGGCAGACAGTGGCCCCAGGACTGAGCTGGGACTGGCAGATACTGCAGCTGGGGCTCTGGCCCTCCCTGGCCACCAAGACCCAGGGTATCATTTCTGTTCAGCATTGCCTTGGCCATAAGAACAAGGAGGGCAGTGCACATAGCTCAGTGGATAGAGTGCTAGCCATATAGCACCGGGGGTGGTGGGTTCAAGCCCAGCCCAATCCAGCTAAAAGAATGACAGCTGCTACAACAGCAACAAAAAATAGCCGGATTTTGTGGTGGGTGCCTGTAGTCCCAGCTACTTGGGAGGCTAAAGCAAGAGAATCGCTTAAGCCCAAGTGTTTGAGGTTGCCGTGAGCTGTGACACCATGGCACTCTACCCAGGAAAACAGCTTGAGACTATCTCAAAGTAACAAAAAAATAAGAAAAAGAAAGAATGAAGGAGTCAGTTCTGAAAAGTTGAGGAGAAGCCAGGAGACTAGATGGAGGGGCAGGCCAGGCCCCCAAGGGCTGAGGAATATTAAGACCTGAGCTTGCTTTGTGGCCTGTCAGTTCTGGCCTTAGGAGACCTCAGCTTTCCTTCTTTAGCCCTGTGGCCATGCACCAGCCCCCTCCCGTGAATGAGTCCTGCCTGCCCTGAGCCTAGATCCTAGCCCTTTGGGGACAGGGCTTCTTTTTGCCGCCTCGGGGGCTGGGGGTATTAGGCATCCTACTGTCCCTCACTGGTCTTCCTCTTACAGAAAGATCTACCTCAGGCTCCTTGGGCCCCAGCTCCAGCCGATGGCCTGCAGCCCCCAAAGGACTTGGATGCACCCCTCTCCCCACAGCCTCCCAGCGAAGACCTCACCAGGTCTCCCCCACCCACTGAGCAGCCCTTGGAACTGGCTGCTCCTGAGGAGATGGGGGCCACAGCCCCCACCCAGGAGCCTGGGGACCTGGCTGACAGCACCCCCGAACCTACAGGTCAGGACCTGGCCCATCCTGACCCTGAGGCTCGGTCGGGTGCCTTGGCCTAGGGGAGAGGTAGCAGGACTCGGCCTGCCATACTGAGATGCCAGCCTCTGGTGCCTGAAGGCCAAGGACAGATGGGAGATGTCCGTGGACTGAGCCTGGGCTGGCCACCCTCCCCCATGGTGCTCAAGTCCTCAGAGGTTCTTGCTCCCATGCCCTGCTCCCAGCTCATGTGGCTGCCACAAGCTCTGGGTAGCCAGGGTGTTTGTTGCCTGGCCCTTCCTGGTCCCTGTGCTGTGGCGGGCTTGGCCGGGCCGCAGACGCGTGCACATCTGGTGCTTCCCTGCCGCTTCTGCCACCTCCTCTGACTTATTCCATACTACGCCCTGTTTTTGCTGTTTGTGGGGCTGGTGGGGGGAGAAGCCTTTGCCTCCCTGCTGAGCTGGTTCCCTGCTCACATCAGCTGGTGCAGACCCGAGACCCAGAGATTGTCAGCAGCCCCTCGTTCTCCAAGACATAGACTCTGGGCTAAGACAGGGCCTACAGGGTAGGGGGCGAGGATGGGGCAGCAGAGAGTGGACAGGCTGCTCCTTCCGGGACTGGAGGTGCCATGTGTGCACTGCTCCCGCTTTTAATAAACAGTCGTGACTGCTACTTCTGGTAGTGTTGCCTCAAGGGGTGTGAGTCTCAGGCTGCCCTTCTAATGAGGGGGGCCCTGGGGGATTCCCTACAGCCCAGGAGGGAAGACCTAGCCACACCTGCTGTTCAACTTTGTTTTCCACGTCAGCTTCATCTTGCTCTGGGTCCTTCCCCATCCCAGGCATTTGCGTGTAGCTTTTTGGCCCTCCTGCTGGACACTGCTAGCCCAGCCCCACATCTAGAAGCCGCGTGCTCTTCACTGAAGAGCCCAGGAGCCCTGGAATGTGCTGGCGAGTTGTGGAACTGGCATTTGGTCTCTACCTCACTGGCGGGGTTCTCTGGAGCCCATAGCACAGATGCCCGTGGTGGAACTGACCAGGACGTGGCCAGTGTGCAGGCCCAGCGCCCTTCTCTGTTGCCACATGTAGTCGCTTGTGAAGCAGAGGCTACCCTCACAGGCGCTGGGGCTGTCTGGCTGTCAGCACCCTTGTACCACCCTCCCTATCCATGAAACCTCCAGACCTAAGTCCAGAAAGGTGTTTCTGTTTACGTGAAATGAAGGCTGAAGCTCCCATCTGCACAGACAGCCCCATGCTGCCGTTTCCCCGGTCTGTTCTGGGCAGGAGCTTTGGGGGCCAGCTGTGAATTGTTCAGAAAAATACCAGCACTGAGACTTCAGCCCTATTTTTCCAGGGAAAAATGATGAGTTTTTCCTCAGAAAAAAAGAGAAAGGTAAATGTCTCCTTTAACACTTTTTGTGTGTTTCTTAAAAGCGCTGGATGAGCTGGGACGGGAGTGAGTGGACCTCCCCTCTAGCCACTGTGAGGACAGGCTGGGGGCCGGGTGACCCCCTGTCTGCTGATCAGACTGCGCCTTAATTTAAGCCATTTCATAGTCGGGATGAGCGTGGAGATTTCTCATTTGGTCTTGGATGTTTGGCCAATGTCAAGGAACCAGAGGTGGTTGTTCCTGAAGTTTCTGTTTGTATGTTTTGCCTTGCTTCCGTTTGAGTCTCATGATTAAACACGGCTTTTGATATCTGGCTCGGCCTCTCCCTTTACCTCCTCTGGGTGTGTGGCTTGGGGGGGACGATAGCATCTGGGGTGTCAGTGGGGCTACTTGGACTGTGGGCTCCTCGGGCCGCAGGGTCCCTGTCATGCTTCTCAGCTCTGCCCTTGTCAATGGAAAGCACCACAGACTACATTGAAGGATGGGCATGGCTGTGGCCAAAATTGGCAGATTCTGAAATTGGGATTTTTATAGGATTTTCATATGTCTCAAAATAGTTGTCTTTTGATATTCTCAATCCTTTAAAAATGTTAACGCTGGCTCAGCACCTGTAGCTCAGCAGCTAGGGTGCCAGCCACATACATCAGAGCTGGTGGGTTCGAACCCAGCTGGGGCCTGCCAAACAATGACAGCTATAACCAAAAGCTAGCTGGGTATTGTGGTGAGCGCCTGTAGTCTCAGCTACTTGGGAGGCTGAGGCAAGAGAATTACTTGAGCCCAAGAGTTGGAGGTTGCTGTGAGCTGTGACAGAACGGCACTCTTAACGAAGGCAATGTAGTGAGACTGTGCCTTAAAAAAAAAAAAAAACAAAACACCCTTGTGGCTCACATTTGTAGTCCTGGCACTTTGGGAGACCAAGGCAGGAGAATCCTTAGAATCTTTGTGCCTGGGAGTTTGAGACCAGTCTGGGCAACATAGTAAGACCTTTTCTTAAAAAAAAAAAAAAAAAAATGCAACTGTGGTACAAGGTTTGGACTTGGCCTTCACTTGCTGGTCCAAGGCTTTAGGAATGTAGGTGATAGTAGACAATACGGGTTTGTGCATGTCCTGCACCTTGCATGTGTCACTCGGCTCTCACCAGTTCCTCCTTCCCATGGAAGATAGTGAGGCTGCTTGATTAATAAGGGGCCAGAGAGGTGTTGATGCCTTAGACCAGTGTTTTTCAACCTTTCTTATCTTGTAGCACACTTGAACCTATAGTTAAACTTCTGTGGCACACTTAAATTATGTTGGTCAAAAAATAAATAAAAAGGCTGGGTGCCCATAGCTCAGTGGTTAGGGCACCAGCCACATGCTTCAGACCTGGTGGGTTCAAACCCTGCCTGGGCCTACTAACAAACAAACAAAAATAGCCAGGGGTTGTGGTGGGGCACCCGTAGTCCCAGCTAGTTGGGAGGCTGAGGCAAGAGAATTGCCTGAGCCCAAGAGTTTGAGGTTGTTGAGAGCAATCTGTCTCAATAATTTAAAAAGGAGGGAGGGGAATATATATAAAAAAAGAACAGGCTTGGCGCCTGTGGCTCAAGTGGCTAAGGCACCAGCCACTTACACCTGAGTTGGTGAGTTCGAATCCAGCCTGGACCCGCCAAACAACAATGATGGCTGCAACCAAAAAACAGCCAGGTGTTATGGCAGGTGCCTGTAGTCCCAGCAACTTGGGAGGCAGAGGCAGGAGAATCACTTGAGCCCAGGAGTTGGAGGTTGCTGTGAGCTGTGATGCTACGGCACTCTACCCAGGGTGACAATTTTGAGGCTCTGTCTCAAAAAGAAAAAAAGAAAAGAAAAAGAATATACTTAACTGTGCTTTGAACTTCTTTCAAAAATAATTTAGGCTCGGCACCTGTGGCTCAACCGGCTAAGGCGCCAGCCACATACACCTGAGCTGGCAGGTTCGAATCCAGCCCGGACCCACCAAACAACAATGACAGTTGCAACCAAAAAATAGCCGGGTGTTGTGGCGGACACCTGTGGTCCCAGCTACTTGGGAGGCGGAGGCAGGAGACTCGCTTCAGCCCAGGAGTTGGAGGTTGCTGTGAGCTGTGATGCCATAGCACTCTACCCAGGGGGATAGCTTGAGGCTCTGTCTCCAAAATAAATAAATAAATAAATAAAATAATTTAATTAGGCCCAGCACCTGTGGCTCAGGTGGCTAAGGCACCAGCCACATACAACTAAGGTGGCGGGTTTGAATCCAGCCTGGGCCCACCAAACAATAATGATGGCTGCAACAATAACAACAAAAAATAGCCCGGCATTGTGGTGGGCGCCTGTGGTCCCAGCTACTTGGGAGGCGGAGGCAGGAGACTCCCTTGAGCCCAGGAGTTGGAGGTTGTTGTGAGCTGTGATGCCATGGTACTCTACCCAGGGGGACAGCTTGAGGCTCTGTCTCAAATAAATAAATAAATAATGTTTTTTTTT